CACAGCAGAGCTGAATGAGAGGAACAAGTCGCTGGCACTGCATAGCAATGCAGTCACAGAAATTTGGTATAGATGAGCTGAGCAAGCGGAAGAACAGAGCCCCAAGGTTCCCACCACAAAGCAATGACACAGAGGGGAAAAATGCTCTTAGTCTGATTTGTTCAGTACAAATTGTTTATGTGTATTGAAATGTTGCAGGGGCCAGCACAGTGGCGTAGTGGGTAAAGCTGCTGTCTGCAATGCCGGCATCCCATATGGGCGCCGGTTTGAGTCCTGGCTGCTCCATTTTTGATCCAGCTCTCTGCTATGGCCTGGGAAAGCAGCAGAAGATGGCCCCCCAAGTCCTTGGGCCTCTGTACCCACTGGGAGACCCAGAAGAAACTCCTGGCTCCTGGCTTCGGATCGGCACAGCTCCAGAAATTGTGGCCATCTGGGGAGTGAGCCAGCAGATGGAAGACCTCCCTCTTTGTCTCTCTGCCTCTGCCTCTCTGTAACTCTGCCTTTCAAATAAATAAATAAATCTTAAAAAAAAAAAAAAAAAGGAAAGAAAAGAGGAGCCGGGACTGTGTAGTAGCAGGTAAAGCCACCGCCTGCAGGGCCGGCATCCCACATGGGCGCCGGTTCAAGTCCCGGCTGCTCCACTTCTGATCCAGCTCTCTGCTGTGGCCTGGGAAAGCAGTGGGGGATGGCCCAAGTCCTCGGGCTGCTGCACCCCCATAGGAGACCCAGAAGCAGCTCCTGGCTCCTGGCCTTGGATTGTCCTAGCTCCAGGCATTGTGGCCATTTAGGGAGTGAACTGGCAAATGGAAGACCTCTCTCTCTGTCTCCCTGCCTATCCTCTCTGTAACTCTGATTTTCAAATAAATAAATAAATCTTAAGAAAAATAGAAATGTTGTATTATAGCTCATAATATGTACAATTGTTGTTACTAAATGGTTTCTCAGAGATTATTATACTAATGGAAACAGAACATGGAGTATAGGTTTTTCATATTTTAATTTTTAATTAGTGTTTGACAGATTCAATACAGTTGGTAGACAGAATTCTTATTTTCTTGAAAGATTTTTTTTATTTGAAAGAGTTATAGAGAGAGAGAGGAGAGAGAAAGAGAGAGATCTTCCACCTGATGGCTCACTCCCCAAATGGCTGCAATAGCACGGGTTGGACCATACCAAAACCAGGATCCAGGAGCTTCTTCTGGGTCTCCCACATGGACGCAAGGGCCCAAGTACCTGGGCCATTTTCCACTTCTTTCCCCAGTGCATTAGCAGGGAGCTGGATGGGAAGTGGAACAGCTGAGACTTGAACCAGTGCCCATATGGGATGTCAGCACCACAGCCCCAGCCCCAGACACAATTCTTCTGTTGGGATTTTCCTTCCTCCATCTCTCCCTCTCCCTTTGTTTCTTTTCTTTTCTTTTCTTTCTTTTTATTTTTTATTTTTTTAGATAACATCTTTTAAATTTACAGAACAATAAAAAGGCTTAATGCAAATAAGAAGTTTAACAAGTAAAAAGCAAAAAGACTCTAATTTAGTGGAAATATAGACAATGTCTATAAACCGAATGGAAAAATGACCACTTTACCCATGTACAGTAAATTTTAAAATAATCACAGATCATTAAAACTATAGTAGTATAAGATTCCTAATTATTTGTTTGACAAAGCTCAAAATAACATTTTACAAAACTGTTTTGCAGCAATACTGATACACACAGGCATTTTTTTTTTTTTTTTTTTTTTTTTTTTACAGGCAGAGTGGACAGTGAGAGAGAGAGACAGAGAGAAAGGTCTTCCCTTGCTGTTGGTTCCCCTCCAATGGCTGCCACGGCCGACGCACCGCGCTGATCCAAAGGCAGGAGCCAGGTGCTTCTCCTGGTCTCCCATGGGGTGCAGGGCCCAAGTACTTGGGCCATCCTCCACTGCACTCCCTAGCCACAGCAGAGAGCTGGCCTGGAAGAGGGGCAACCGGGACAGAATCCGGCGCCCTGACCGGGACTAGAACCCGGTGTGCCAGCACCACAGGCGGAGGATTAGCCTAGTGAGCTACAGTGCCGGCCTGTTTTCTGATTCTTTAAAAATGTAGCTCCACATATAGCGGAGAACATGCGGTATTTGTCTTTCTGTGTCCAGCTTATTTCAGTCAACATGATGTCGTCCAGTTGAGTCCTTCTTGCTATAAATGGTAGAATTTCCATTTTTTATGGTTGAATAATATTCCATTGTGTATATATTCCACATTTTCTCTGTCCATGCATCTGATGATAGATGATTGATTCCAAATTTCGTAAACAGTGCTGCTATGAACATGGTGGTGCAGGTATCTCTTTGATACATTGTGTTCAATACTTTTGGGTGTATACTTTTGGGTATATATTGCAGGATTCCTGGATCACATGGCAAGTCTGTTTCTAGCTTTTTAAGAACTTGCTACACTGTTTTCCACAGTGGCTGTGCTAATTTGCCTTCCCACCAACAGTGCATAACTGTTCCCCTTTGTCCACATCCTGGCCAGCTTTTGTTACTCTCTGTGTGTTGGATTTTAGTTCTGACAGGGGTGAGGTGCTGTCTCATTGTGGTTTTGATTTGCATTTCCCTGATGGCAGGTGATGTTAGGAATTTTTTTCATATATTTGTTGGCCATTTGTATTTCTTCTTTTGAGAACTGTCTGTTGAAGTTCTTTGTCCATTAACTTAACTGGGTTCTTTGTTTCTTTTGAGTTTTTAAAGTTGCTGATAGATTCCGGAGATTAATCCTTTGTCACAGACACTTCTTCCCCATCCTGTTGGGTGTCTCTTCACTTTATTGATTGTTTGCTTTGCTGGGAGCACAGTTTTAATCATACTTTGAAATGGAACATCCTGGGTGCACCAAGTATTTGGAGAGGCAAACTGTCCCCAACGTCTGTCAAGCTGGCAGCAGGAGAGCAGTGAGGTCATGACCGCCTTGAAGCAGGTACAAATCTGTTTTCCACGGAGTTCAAGCCAGGGCAGAGCAAGCCTCCGGTTGGAGCAGAGGGGGCTGCCCACGCAGCTGCTTGCAGGGCCTGGGCTGTGCATTCTTCTTGAGGCCATAGTTGGGAGCTGGAGGGAAAGGAGGAATGAGTGAGCTCAGTCCATCTGGTGAGTCAGAGCTCCTCCCACAAGAGCTGCAGGCCTACAGCCAGCCACATGGCTGCAACAGACCTCACTCAAGTCCGGAGGGAATTTTACATCGGGATACGTGGAGGTCAGGGGGCCAGCAGATTCTCACCGAAACCACCATAGCCACGGAGGACACGAGCCCTGGTGTCCAAGTACTTGAATCTTTAAAAACCACCAGGGATATCAATTGGACAGCTAAGCTTCATTTTAAAATCAATAAATCCTTGGTATCTTGAAAACGATTTAGGGTGGGTGCTATGAGTGGCAGGGTGCCAACCACCTCGGCTGCTTCTCCCAGGCCACGAGCAGGGAGTCAGATAGGAAGTGGAGCAGCCGGGACTCGAACCAGCAGCCACATGGGATGCTAGCATTGCAGGCGGCAGCCCTCAAATAAATAAATTTTCCAAACCTTTTTTTAAAAAGAAAAATGAGCAAAGGTACTGAAAAGGCAACAATTCACAACAAAAATGCAAATAGCCAAATGACTTAGGAAAATACAATAAAATATTCAAATTTATTCAAATAACTTTGGTGTCTTTTTTTTTTCAACAGACTGGGGAAAGTTACGGGGCTCCTGAGAACTGGGGACAGAGACTAGGGCGGTCAACATCCACGTCTAAGTCATCTACAGGTGCTTAGATGGGTTGTTTTTAGTAGCAAAGAGGTAGAAATAATTCCAGTGCTCATCCAGAGCAAAATGGGGGTGAATACATTAGTTTGTTCGTATGAAGCAATCCTACAGCAGTTACAAGCAGTGAGTTTGATGGGTGCATTTTTCTGATAGACCTTAGAACACAATCACACACAATGGTGCACGCAGTATAGCAACATTTACGTAGGTGAGCCGTAGTGAGATATGATGTATGATTGTTTATATCTATCTATTTATGCACCCATGATCCTAACCAATTGATGGAAGGGATGAATTCCCGATGGCATGAGGCAGCCAAGGATCAGCGTGAGGGTCAGAGCGAGCTCTGATGACGTCTGCGCTATCTTCTGTATCATGCTTGGCAGCATTGACCTTTGTGGGGTGGGAGCCCAGGGCACTGGTCACATGAGCCTTTGTCCTAGGCTGCGACCCATGGATTTTTCTACATTACAGGCATACTTAAGCCCTGGGGTGCACGTGAGCTATGCTGTGCCCTGGAAGGCAGTACTGGGTGTACACGCATGACTCTCAGCTGTTGTCCTCCCCACCCCCCACAGGTGCAGGAGACCTGCAGGTGGTGGAGAGCAGGGCCAGGCTTCCTACAATGCGTTTTGGCATCCAGGGAGGTGTCAAGGCCACCACCTCACACTCACTACCGGGAAGAGAGGGCCCCCATGGTGCCTCCTGTGGACCCCAGGAAGACAGTCCCAGGGTGTGGCAGGATAGTCAGCCCTAAATCTGTCATGGCAGACACCGGGAAATTCCTTGAGTGAGCAGAGCAGTGCTCGTCCGCGGGTGCTTCTTCAATGGCAATATTTGCACCTGACTTTTTCTCTCCAGGTAAGTTGATGGTAATCCTTGGAACACAATCCTGGGGCCACACCACCTGTGATTCACCCATCTGTACACTCCATTCTGTTCTTTATCTAGTCATTCAATTTCAACAGACATTTTTTTTTTTTTTTGACAGGCAGAGTGGACAGTGAGAGAGAGAGAGAGAGAGACAGAGAGAAAGGTCTTCCTTTTGCTGTTGGTTCACCCTCCAATGGCTGCTGTGGCCGGCGCACCACGCTGATCCGAAGCCAGGAGCCAGGTGCTTCTCCTGGTCTCCCATGTGGGTGCAGGGCCCAAGCACTTGGGCCATCCTCCACTGCACTCCTGGGGCCACAGCAGAGAGCTGGACAGGAAGAGGAGCGACCGGGACTAGAACCTGGTGTGCCGGCGCCGCTAGGCAGAGGATTAGCCTAGTGAGCCGCGACGCCGGCCCAACAGACATTTATGAAGCAGCTGTGGTGGGGGGCAACATTCTTGTGTAATCCCCCCCATTGGGGGTGCTGGAACAGCTGAGCTGGATGGATTTCACGCCCATGATGAGGTTATGGTGTAGCGTGCAGGTGGGGTGATTGTGCCCCCTTTTAAAAAATGTGTTTTTATTCTTAATTGATGCATAGTAACTCACATAGTACTTACAGTTACAGTGGGACACCCACTCCACGGATGCAATGGGAATTGATCCAATGAGAACTGGCAGATGGATCTCTTCATTTACCATTTCTTGATGTGGAGAACGTTCAAAACTCTCCCTACTGGCTGTTTTAAAATATTCAGTTGTCAACCAGATTTATCGCCCTGTGCTTTGGAGCATTAGGAGTTATTCCTCTTACCCAACCACACCACTGTATCCACCACCAACCTCTCTCCGCCCTTCCCTCCCCCACAGCCTTCCACTTCTCCAAGACCAATGTTTTGGCTTCCATGCATGAAGGAGTGCATGCAGTGTCTGTCCTTATTCCTGTATCTCTCTCTATTTTTTTTAAAGATCTATTTATTTATTTGAAAGGCAGTTACAGAGAGGCAGAGGCAGAGAGACACAGAGAGAAAGTCTTCCACCTGCTGGTTCACTCCCCAATTGGCCGCAATGGCCAGAGCTGCACCAATCCAAAGCCAGGAGCCAGGAGCTTCTTCCAGGTCTCCCACACGGGTGCAGGGGCCCAAGGACTTGGGCCATATTCTACTGTTTTCCTGGGCCATAGCAAAGAGCTGGATCAGAAGTAGAGCAGCCGGGTCTCAAACCAGTGCCCATATGGGATTCTGGCGCTGCAGGCAGCAGGTTTACCCACTACACCACAGCACCAGCCCCACAGTGTCCATCCTTTTGAGTCTGGCTTATTACAGAAAGTATAATGTCCTCCAGGTCCAACTGTGTTGCTGCACATGCTGCAATTTCATTCTTTTCATGGCTGAATAATATTCCATGATATGTAAATACAATTTCTCTACACATTTATCTGTCAATGGACACCGAGGTTGGTTCTGTACCCCGGCTGCCGGTCTCTGTTCAATGCCCATTATAAAGAGGGTCCCTGGAAAAAGATGTGGAGCTGAAAGGACACCCTCTAAATGGCTCCAGAGAAGCAGATGGCCATGTCACAGAGAGGGAAGGAGCTCTGCTCCACACTCACGGGAGTGTGGGACAGCACCTGGGGCCCTTGTGAGGTGCCAGCTATGGCTGGCGACCTGGTGACAGCCTGGGGAGACCCAGCACACAGTGCCCACGTGAGCTGGACTCCTGGCTCACGGAGATGGTGAGCTGACAAGTGCGTGCTGTTGTAACCCACGCAAGGGGCTGTGCAGCCTAAAACTAGAATCAAAGCAGAGCTGCCAAGGTCTTGAAGGGGGAAGGGGGACTCATGCCCACCTGCCCGAGAACAAGAAGTATTGCAACCACAGCGGTGGACAAAGGCCACCGGGACTCCCTCAGAAAATACTTGCACAGGGACATCTGCCCAACCACGGCCTCTCAGCCTTTGCTATTAATCTCATAGCCAAGGACATTCGATCTGCACTTGCTTACGCAATCCTCATTTTTGCCTTTAAAGACATCCACATGCATCAGACTCTTTGAATACGCTCAGAGACCATTAGGTCAGGTGCACTGCCACAGCAAGGCTCGAACGTGTCCTTCTGCGAAGACTGTGTCTTGTTATTTAGGTTGGCATCAGCCATGGAAGACAACCGTCATACCCCTCGGGTGGCTGATACAGGGGCTGCAGGAGGGAACCAGGCTCCACTCTTGCTGCAGGGATGCTCCCAGAGTGTGAAGGAGATGGAACCATAACAATGGCCCAAATCAGAGCAAAAAGAGTTGCTGGGGAAATACAGAGCAGGCCAGGGTCCAGTCGGCATCATCCACACAAAGGCTTAGGAGTACAGCAGGTGCTCCACCTGGAAAGGAGAGGGGCCCGAACTGGGCTGGGCAGCTCTGCTCTCTTCTCTCTGCTTGTTGGCCGGCCAGCTGGGGTAAGCCTGGAATGGCCCGAGCCTGGCCATTTCTTTCCCATCTGCCATGGGCAAGAGGTAGGGTAGCAGCAGGAGAGAGTGGGATCAAGAAAGACAGGCGTGGAGGAGGGAGGAAAGGCAGAAGTTCCTGAAGATTCTTAATGCCCTGGCTGGCCTGAACCCACCTTGAGTCTCTTCGTCTCAGTGCAAAAGAAAACAACAAACCTTTGGGATAAGCTCTGGATTATTCTCAATCCTACTGGCCTAAGAGCCCAGGAAGCAGAGTGAAGGCAGCTCTGGCTAAATTCTAGTTACTCTGGTCACTGTGAAACCGAGGACTGCCTGCCCACTAGCATTGTGCAATCCTGAAGGGTGCTTGCCTAATTTCTGGGTGCTTACTGGCGAGGGCTGATATTGGGGTTGGAAGGTAGCCTCGTGGTGCAAACAGTTCACTCGCATTGTTTGAGACAAACCTCCAGGGAGGCTCCCGTGGGCGGGGTGAGTTGTCCGGCTTGCCGGTGACTTGTGGTCACCCCTCAGGAAGGGAAAGGAGTGACTTTCCTTGAAATGGTGACCTCGTGTGCAAGGAGACCCCAGAAATGACCCACTTGTGTGTAGCCCCAGGAAGCAGCTCATGGACACATCTGGGTGTGCCCCACAGGTCTCTAATGCCTCCCCCACCCCAGACATGCTCCTGTCCCTTTGCAGAAGGGGAGAGGCTGTGCTGTCCCCAGGGTCCTGGTCTCTGCACATAGGACAGCAGAAGAAGCCTAGACATTTGAACAAATCAGGTCGGTGGTCAGCTCCCGCCTGGACTTGGCCTTCCGCCTGCCCAGGTGGCCTGGAGACCTGGGGACCTTGGCCTGGCTGTGGAGGATTTGCAGGCACTGGTCGGTGCTGCCATTCTGCTGGTCACTGCTGGATGCCGCCGACATGGAATCAGATTCCGTGAAGGACGGCTCGAACTTGGGCTTGACCCTGGGCTTTGGAGGGTACTGGAAGTTCTGGGAGCGCGGCTTGCTGTACACATACAGGGGCCTGTCCGGTTGAACCCCAAAGCCATCATGCCAGGACTTGTGATGCATCCGTTCATAGAGCCCGGGGGCCAGGGTCTGACTTTCTGTACTTTCTCCAGTATAAAAGTGGGGAGCCCGGCGGAGGTCCGTCAGGGAGCGTGGCGGGAAAGGCCCTTTGATCAGATCTCTCCTCCAGGTCTCCTCCTCTTCTTCACTCAGCGGTGGGGAGCATTGCTGGCGGGGGACCCGAGTCACGTAGTGTCGCGTGTTCCTTGGGTACAGCTCCACTATGTCACCTGAGGCGTCAATCTGGAAATGTCTGTCTGGCCAGAAAGCAGGATACATCTTCCTGTGAGTGTCTTGCTCATTGATGATGTAGTATCTGGGTGCCTGGGGCCGGCGGCCGCCGGGTCCCAACGCCCGGACTCCTGGACCCCGGAGAGGAGGGCTGATGGGCTGAAAGTGTTTTCGGAAAAGAGGTGCTGAGCGGACATCTTCCATGTGCCTTGTCAGCGTCACGGGTGTGCAGGATCTGGTCTTGTGGAGATCACCTGTGCTTGCACTCGGGCCATGGCCATGCCTTTAGGACACAGACGGGTAGGTAGTTAGAGCCTTGGTGGTCCAAGGGCTAGGGCAGGGGTTCCGCATTCTTACTGAACCTGATTTCTCAGTGTTAGTGTGTGTTCTGTGTGCACTGTGTGCACCGAAACCTTTTGGGAGGGGTCCGGCATCTGGTGCAGCTGTTAACACGCTTCTTGGAATACCTACATCCCATAAAGGAGTACCCCAGCTTCCTGCTGACACACATCATGGGGGGGCAGCAGGTGAAGGCTTAAGTGCTTGGGTCCCTGTGACTCACGTGGGAGACCACGATGGAGTTCCTGCATGCGGGCTTCAGCATAGCCCAGCCCCACCTGTTGTGGGAATTTGTGGAGTGAACTAGTACCTGGGAGAACTCACTCTCCCTGTCTCTCTCTGGCTATGTAGCTCTCTCTGTTTTTCAAATAAAATGGAAATTGAAAAAAAAAAAAAAAAGGAATGCTTTGGGGAACTGGGCTCCACAGGTTTCTTATGGCTAAAATGCTCAGATTCTTGATACAGAGATGAGCATTGCAACTCTCTATGAGGGCTGTTTTCATCCAGGAGCACTCATTTGGTTGAGGAGCACCCGAGTGGCCGGTGTTGGCGGAGCACCTGTTAGGAACCCTGTGCCTCCTCACCTCTGCTAAGCAGCTGTCCAGCCTTTCTGGCACTTCCTGGAGTGCCCACTAGGGGGAGGTATACACACAAGAAATTCTTCCCCATAAAGGGAAGAGCCTGCCTTGGGGCTCTGGTGTGCTCCCCATGCCCTCCCCTGTAGGGTTTGAATTCCCCTCCCCCTCTCTGTTAACTGCCTTTCAAATAAATAATAAAAACTCTTTTAGATTTATTTTATCTAAAAGGCGCATTGTTTATTTGAAAGCCAGAATTACAGAGACAGAGGGAGAGAAAAGAGAGGGAGAAAGAGACAGATCTTCCAACCACTGGCTCACTCTCCGAATGGCCACAATGGCAAGGGCTGGGGCAAGCCAAATTCAGGAGCCAGGAGCTTGTTCTGGGCCTCCTATATGGGTGCAGGGGCCCAGGCACTTGGGCCGTCTTCCACTGCTTTCCCAGGCACATCAGCAGGGAGCTGGATTGGAAGTGGAGCAACCAGGACTCGAACTGGCACCCATATGGGTTGCTGGAGTTGCAAACAATGGCTTAACCCACTGCATCACAGTGCCGGCCCCAATTTCTCTCTTTTTAAAAATTTATTTGAGAGTCAGACAGAGAGAGGGAGAGAGAGTCCGTCCATCTGCTGGTTCACTCCCCAGGTGCCCATGAGGCCAGCATTGGGTAGCAGCTGAAGCTTGGGGCCAGGAACTCAATCCCCATCTCCCACATGTGTGGCAAGAATCTAACTACTTGAGCTGTCACCTGCTGCCTCCCAGGGTGTGCATGGCAGGAAGCCGGAGCTAGGTCTGCAACCCAGGCACTCTGATACAGGACATGGGGGTTGTAACTGACATCTTAACCGCTGGGCTCAATTCCAGCTCCTGAATCCCTCCTTCTCGCAAGATCCCATTGAGACATGAAGAAGATTGCTATATGGCACACTTCCAAGTTCTTTGCTAACTTATGGAAACTACCCAAAACCTAACACCCCAAACAGTGTGCATTTTACCAGTACTACTTCCACTGTGCTACAGTCAGATCACCTAGGAGGGTGCTTCCAAAAGTTCATGGAAAATGGGATTAAAAGGCATCAAATTAACTCCCCTTTTAATTCTACTTTCCATTTTTTGGTGATGCAAAAACATCAGCATTCAAGCATTAGCTTTACAATACGCATTTTTTATGAATTTTGAATTTGTTTGCACCAAAGTAAACTTATCTTTTAATTCCATTTTTTCATGAACTTTTTGAAGCACCCTCATGCAATTCTCCAAGTGAATTTGGGTGCCTGCAGGCCTATCCCCCCTCTCCCTGTTATCTCCCTCCCCTGCAGGAGGCGGGTCCTGCTGCTTCCTGTTACCCAAGACAAAAGCAATTGAGCCCAGACAATGCAGACATGACCTCTCCAACAGCTTGGCCTGCCTAGAGCTTCCGTAGGGACCATCTGACCAATAACATGGCCAGTCTGCAACTAAGAAACGAAAAGAAGAGAAGTTCAAAGGCGTTTGAGTTTCTAAGGGTCTGTCCTGCTTCCCAAACTCTGAGCCCCACCCTCCACACAGCGTCCAGTGCTCAGCACCAGATTGGAAGTAGAACAGCCAGGACTCCAACCAGCACTCTGATATGGTCTGCCAGTGCTGCAGGTGGTGGCATTACCAGCTATGTCCCAACACAGACCCCTCTGCCTGTGCCTTCCATGGCCCTTGGGCCATCCCCGGCACCACACTCTAGGAAGCCAGGTTTCTTCCTGTGTCTCACCTGTTAGCATTCGGCTCTGGCCTGGACTTGGGGACTCCAGGAGGAGGCGAGCAGGGGCCCCTCTGCCGTGGCCTGGGGCTCTGGGGCGCAGCCTGGGTGACTGTCTCTATCCTGCTACTCTTGCTGCTCAGGGAGTCGAAATTGAGCACGGTGCCGTTGTTCTGGGGTGTCACGGGGTGTGCAGAGGACAGCGGGCTGACGAGGTCACTATCCTTGGGAAGCCGCTTGGTGCTTTCCTCCTGGGTCTGGATCCGGGCTGCGGGCAGAGGAAGGGCCTGTGAGAAGACAAGCTTCAAAGGGCGACAGGTGTGCTGAGCCCCAAGGCGGCTGGGACTTCCGACGGCTGGGCCTGCAGACAACTGGGTGCACTTGCAAATGCCCCCAGCCCGGGGGTGTGCCAGTGCTGTTTCCCAGGGTCTCATCACAGAAGGGGCCTGGCCATGAGCCATCTGATGCCCCTCCCTCCCCCCCGCAGGGACAGGGAACTTCCCGCCCAAGGGCCTTATAAGGCCATGAAATCATCTGGCCTGGCTCTGCCAAGGCCACCATAGCCTGGACTCAAACATCAATCAATTTACAGCAGGCTCATTTTCACGTTGATCATTTTGTTTGGCCGTGAATGATGTTAGGAATGTACAAACGACTTGGTAGAAAAACAGATTCCCCAGCCCTGCAAGACGGATCCCTTAACGGCTTGGGGGCTCTGCTTCTTTAGCTAAGACTAGATCTTCAAAAAGTCCATGAGAAAAAGCAAGTCAGAAAAAACTGGGCGTGCATTTCAGAGATTTTTGTACCACATTAACTCATCTTTTAATTCCACTTTTCAGGAACTTTATGCCATTCCCCTGCATGCAATGAATATTATAAAGATGGCGCAACAATTATGATTTTTTTTTTTTAGCAAACAGTCAGAAATGAGACGCATGTGGCCCTGAACTGACAAATGACATTTAGACAGCACCACTGTTGTCCCCGGAAAGTCTACAGAGAAGCCCAGGTTTTGAAGGTGATGGAACTAAGCCTAACCATGCTCAGCTGGAGGGGGGAACCCTTGACAGTCTCAGGAGGCTTTGCAGCAGGAGCCACTGTCGGCTTGGCCAGGCTCCTGTCTGCAAGGCCAGGCAGGTCAGCTTAACCTGAGGCCCCCTGCCTCCCACGTAGGCATTTTCCTGGGGGGCAAGAGGTTGCCTCCAATTAGCTCTGGATCCCAACAGCTTCAAGCACAGGCTCTGAGGGCCTCAATCCCTTCATTTTCTGAAGGAGGGTGGGACCTATGTCCCCCCCTTTAAATACTGTATATTAAAAATTTTTAAAGTTTATTTTTCTTTTATTTGAAAGGCAGCCAATAGACAGATATGTAGAGATCTCTCATCCACTGGTTCACTCCCCAGATGTGCACACAACAGCTGGAGCTGGGCCAGGCCCAAGCCAGGAGCCCAGATCTCAACCTGGGACTCCCAAGTCCGAAGCAGGGACCCAGGTATCCGGGGTATCACCGGTATCACCTGTCGTCTCCCAGGGTGCACAATGGCAAGAAGCTGGGGTCAGAAGCAGTCAGAACTCAAACCCAGACACACAGGGGATGCAGGGGTCTTAACAGCTGTGCCTCACGGCCACCCCAGGCTGTGCCTTGTGGCTCTCAGGGTGCTGTCCCTGGTCCCTCATTTCCTTGAGCTGCAGCTGCGCCCCATCCCCCTCTCTCAAGCCTCTGCTCCCGGGCCTGCTGTCCTTGCTGGGAGGCAGCCCCCCCCCACACACACACACCCAGAGAGTGCCCAGGTGGTGCTGCCTTACCCAGCAACCTGTTCTTGGGGCTGGGCCTGTGCAGCCAGCATCGCTCTGCGGGGATGGGACAGAGAAGGCAGAACCTAAGAAAGTCGGGCCCCGGGGGAGCAGAGCCCTGGGAGCGGAGGCCAGGGAAGGGCAGGGCACAGGAAGGTGGGAGTGCGGGGTCCTCCAGACTCAAGTGCTATTTTCCCCTCCTCCAAAGCTCCCTTCTGGTCCCTGGGGATTATTCACACAGGAGGGGGCGTGATGGAGAAAGGGAGGTCCCAACCAGCACTGGCAGCCGCAGGTTGGACTTCGCTGTGCCCTGTGAATTTTGAATTTTCCACAAGCTGTGGGGCACAGTACCTTCAAGTACTTTCTGCAACCGGTCTATGTTCAAACGGCCAGCAAGAGAGATGAGGACTCTGCACATGTTAAATTTTAAAATTCACATAAAGGGAACAAATGTCCTGTGTTTCATGCACATGGTTTGAAGAGCATACGGGTACTTCCCACCTTGCCCTCTCAGCCTCCCTCACTCTACCTTCCTTTCTGATTTTTCTTTTAATTTTTACCATGATGGATGCTCGATTCACTCTATAATCCCAAGCTTAACCCTCCACTAAATAAAGAATTCAACACAGGGGCTGGCACTGTGGTGTAGCAGGTGCCTGCAGTGTCAGCATCCCATATGGGTGCTGGTTCAAGTCCCGGCTGCTCCGTTTCCGATCCAGCTCTCTCCTATGGCCTGGGAAAGCAGTAGAAGATGGACCAAGTCCTTGGACCCCTGAACTCGCATGGGAGACCCAGAGGAAGCTCCTGGCTCCTGGCTTTGCATCGGCACAGCTCCGGCCATTGTGGCCAGTTGGGGAGTGAACCAGCAGATGGAAGACCTCTCTGTTTCTCTCTCTGCCTCTCCTTCTCTCTGTGTGTAACTCTGACTTTCAATTAAATAAATAAATTAAAAAAAAAAAAGAATTCAACACCTAGGAAGTAGAAAAACCACAGTTCCTCAAGAGTAGAGACCAGAGCTATATACAATAATCAAGTCTCAAATGTTGATTTTCCTCGCATGCAGTACATTTTTTTTTGGTACTGTGCTTATTAGTGACCACAAAGAACACTGCATTAAAAAAAAAAAAAAAGGCAAGGGCTTACCTTCTACCAGTTGGGCAACCTTTTTCTTATCTTCAGATCGTGCCTAAAAGACACAAATGATTATCATCATGTTTGTTTTGGGGTTAGCAGGAACCAGGAGGAAGCACCACACTGAAGGGGAAAACTAGGTATATGTCACTGGGTGTCGTCCCCTGGGGCTGGGCTGCTCTGGGCTCAGGCCCATGACTTGAGTGAGGAAATCCAGACAGCTATGAACTGGGTGTTCCCACCATTGTGTGAGGGGACAGCTAGTGCCCAGGCCATGTGCAGATCCTGCCAATCACAGCCTGATGAGGCCTAAAGGAAAAAATGCAAGGGGAGACTTCAAAACACTCATGGAAAATGGGATTAAAAGACAATTTATTTTTTAAAAAAAATATTTACTTATGTGTTTGAAAGGCAGAGTGACAGAGTGAGAGGGAGGAATGGAGAGAGACAGAGATCTCCCATCTACCAGTTCACTCCCCAAATGCCTGCAACAGCAGAGGGCTGGGCCAGGCCAAACCCGGGAGCCAGGGACTCCATCCGGGTCTCCCGTGTAGTTGTCCGGAGCCCAAGCTCTTGGGCCATCTGCTGCTGCTTCCCAGGAACCTTAGCAGGGAGCTGGATCACAAGCGTATTAGTCAGGACACAACCCAGCGCTCCCATCCTCAGTGGTGGCCTAACTCACTGTGCCACATTACCTGCCCCAAGATAAGTTTATTTTGGTGCAAAAAACAAAACAAACAAACAAAAAAAAAACAAAAAAAAAAACCAAAAAAACTTAAACTCACTTATAGTTTTCTATACGAGGTGGGTCTTTGGGTGTAAGCCGAGCTCTTTGGCTCAGATGCCCACGTTGGCCCAGGGTGGAGAAAGGACCCTGTCTCTCCCAGGGCCTGCAGGGGCGCCTGGCACACTCGGGGCTGCTGTGGCCACAACATGAGCCGTGCCTCAGCAAGGTTCCTTGCACAGGACGACAATCACAAGCTGGCCTGTCCCTGGCAGCTCTGAGCTGGCATCGGGCAGTCTCAGACGTTCCTCTGGAGGTCTTGGGGGGTGGTGGCCAGGAGCCACAGTGACTTGAAAATACGACCTCACCTTACCAGGATGCTTCCACAAGTTGATAGAAAAAAATAAAATTAGAAGATAAGCTTACTTTGGTGCAAAAAATTTGAAATCCACGCATAGTTTTTTCCTAAAATGCATTTTCCATGAATTTTCTGAAGACTCCTCCCATGCACGGGATTCAACATTTCTGCCTCAAAACAAGCATTATCTGGTAATTCCCTTTTCCGTGGACTTTTGGACAGGGTCTCCTGGTTCCCCGCCGGCGAGAGCCCAGCGCGTGGTGGACACGTGCCGAGCACGGCGAAGTCCCCGGGATACTTGCGTTTTGGATCTGCACTCTGAGCTGCTGGTTGCTGAGCCTGAGCGAGCGCGCGATGCTCTGAAGGTAGTAGATGAGCATGCTAAGACAGAAAGACACAGCGTGGTGACTGCATGGCTCCCGCACCTTCCCTGCTCCTGTGGCTTGGCGGCAACGAGGGGCCCCTGCACCAGACGTGAGCTGCCCCCGGCACCTCCACCAGGAACCAAATGTATGGCAAGTCCTCAAGCCCCAGGAGGCAGCTGTGGGACCTGGGGGCTATATCTTTGCCACACAGTAGCCCGTGACTCTGGGGGGGGGGTGCAACTTGGAGTCTGCCGAGGTCATCAGGCCCCCCACAAAGGATTTTTGCAGGAATGAATGGATTTGATAAAATCACTAGAAAGCAGTGTTGTGCTGTTGCCTGAATCCTGAGAAGTCTTCCCACCCCCACCCCCACCCCCACCCCACCCCCCAAGCTGGCAGGTGTAGTACTCACAAGAGAAGCAGCACGGCGGGCAGGATGACCACAGGGCTGCTGACGTAGCCAACCACGGAGCCAAACCACGCGGGGAAGTCGTTCTCGATCGTTTCCGACACGATGTCATACATTTTCTCCTGTCCACTGTGAGAAGCAGAGAAACGTGGCTCCAGCGATTACTGCTTCTGGCGGAAGGATGCTGCCACGCGATATCAGAAGGTGGCTGGATGCTTTGAGGGCGATTCTCCAAGAGAGTTACAAACCCCACACACAGTGTCCCTAAGACGGCTTCATATGAAGCAGCCGTTTCATGACATCACAGGCAGGGTTGGGGGGGCAGTGATGACGCTGTGTGCGTGTTGTGATCATGTACTCAAAGGGACACTCTACGTATCACATACGTGCTTTACTCAGATTCCAGTAAAACCAACGCTAGGTGCAGGTGACCTTTAGGAGTTTCGGTCTGGGCACAGCTAGAGAGTGTAGAATCAAACATGATGTGGACTCTGTTTTAATAAAAGCTTCCTGGGTTTTGATCAGGTAGAATTTCGCTCTAGCATAGAACAATGCTGTTGCCTTTTTTGTCCTGGTTTTAAAAAGAGCTATGTCTTATTCTTAAAAAAAAATTATTTGAAAGGCAAACAGTGAGAGAGGGAGAAAGAGAGAGAAAAAGAGAGAAAGAGAGAGAGAGAGAGAATGAATGAGATCCCATCTGCTGGTTCTCTCTCCCAGTGCCTGAGTGCTGAGAACTCAATCCAGGTCTCCCACATGGGAGGCAGGAACTCAACTGCATGAGCCATTGCCTGCTGCCTCCCTGGGTCTGCATTAGCAGGAAGCTGGAATCCGGAGCCAGAGCCATGACTCAAACCCAAGTACTCCAATATGGAAAGTGGGTGTCTTAACCGTTGGGCCAAATGCTTGCTACCTGGGCTATATCTTTTTTTTCTTTGACAGGCAGAGTTAGACAGAGAGAGAGAGAGAGAGAGACAGAGAGAAAGGTCTTCCTTCCGTTGGTTCACCCCCCAAATGGCTGCTATGGCCAGCACGCTGCACCGATCCAAAGCCAAGGAGCCAGGTGCCCCCCACCTGTCTCCCATGCGGGTGCAGGGCCCAAGCACCTGGGCCATCCTCCACTGCACTCCCGGGCCACAGCAGAGAGCTGGACTGGAAGAGGAGCCACTGGGACATAATCCGGTGCCCCGACCGGGACTAGAACCCTGGGGTGCCGGTGCCGCAGGCGGAGGATTAGCCTAGTGAGCCGCGGCGCTGGCCATGGGCTATATCTTTTTAACACAAGCAGAGATGATTATAATGGAGAGTGGCTTGCTCTTAGGGAAAGAGCACTGGTCTTGTATTCAAAGGAGCTTTTTTTTTTTTCTCCTATGCCATGTAGCCATTCTGTGACTCAGGGGGAAGTTCGGTATTCCGCTAGGTCACAGTGCCTGCAGGCAGAGCTGATAAAACTGAAACACCTCACCTGAACGGCCCGCAGTTGGGAGACGGCTTGTACCGGACGATAGCGAAAACCGTGGGCAGCATGCACAGGAACAGCATGAACAGCAGCGTGGCCAAGTAGAAGTTGTTGGACCTGCAGAGGAGACCAAGGAGTGCCCTGTGCTGCGTGCCGCCCACGGCCACCTGCTGAGGACGCACATGTCCAGAGCAGTGACCCCAAAGCTCCCACCCCCAAATCTCTGCAAGCAAACACACACACACACACACACACACACACACACTCACTCAACTTGCTGCTCCTAGGAATGGTTGTGTCGAAGATCACAGGAAGCTTAGAGACCTCCAATTGGTGCCCTAAGGGCTCCCCAGACCCTCCCACCTGCCTGCTAACACTTGACGAGCACCTGTCCACTGCCAACCAGGAGAGCCGTGAGCCTGCCCTGCGCCCAGGGCTCCTCCAACAGCAACTCAATTTATGGAAAAATCTTAGAACCGCTGCCCATCCACCTGGGTCCTCACCAAATGGTTCCCTCACCTGTTCCCAGCCTTGACTTTGCCTCTCATGTCTCAGGATGCTTTGGCTCTGTTGCTATGATTCTTGACTCTCTCACTTGGAGGAGCTCTGGCTCTCACTGCTGGCTGCTCAAGTGATGCCTTGGTATTAGGGAGCCTGGTTGTGCAGGCCTCCCCTGAGGACAGCTCAGACCTGTTTGGTGGGCAAGGTTCTGTCCAGTGTTCTGAGCAGGGAGTGAGTGGCCAGTCAGTCTGGTGGTACCCAGCTAGCACGCCCTCTGCCCATCGGTTTCTCTCTCTCTCCTTTTCTTGCTCTCGCTCTCATTCTTTCCCTCTCTCTGTCTCTCCCCCTCTCTCATGAAGTAGACTGGGCTTGAAGGGAACGGACAAGGTCAGGGGTATAGAGTACAGAAAGGGCTAGGTGCTAATTTGTGATTCCCCCCAACACACTCCAAGGTCTTCAAGGAAAATTATTACTATTTAAAAATTATGCAAGGATTTCAAAGTTTTTACACAAAAATGAATCTTTCATTTCTATTTTCCATGTCTTTTTGAAGTGCCTCATGTGTGTGTGTACACATAGACACACACACACACACCCCTAAAGATTATAAATATAAACATAAAAAGCATGCATATGTGAATATATAAAACCCATCAGCCTTCTACATCCATGGGTTCGCAACCTTGGATTTCACCAAGTGCTGATCAAACTTATTGAAGAAAAGTTCATCTGGGGGCCAGTGTTGTGGCGCAGCAGGTTGAGCTGCAGCCTGCAGTGCCAGCATCCTACATGGGCGCTGGTTTGAATCCTGGCTGCTCCACTTCTAATCCAGCTCCCTGCTAATGTGCCTGGGAAGGCAGCAGAGGATGGCCCAAGTGCTTGGGACTCTGTACCCACATGGGAGATCTGGATGAAGATCCTAATTTTGGCCTGGCTTGGCCTTGGCTGTTGTGGCCATCTGGGGTGTGAACCAGCAAATGGATGATCTCTCGCTCTCTCTTTGCCTCTCCCTCTCTCTCTGTAACTCTGCCTTTCAAATAAATAACTGCACCTTTAAAAAAGTTGCACCTATACTGAACATGTACAGAATATTTTCATGTTCCCTAACCATTACAGAATCACACCAATCCCATCATATTTACATTGTCCTAAGCATTATAAATAGCCTAGAGATGATATGGAAGGAGGTGCATAGGTTATACATAAACACTATGGAATTGTCTAGAAGGGACCTGAGCATCCATCCATGGATTTTGCTATCCACAGGGGGACAAGGACCAATTTTTTTTGCATATACCAAGGAATTACTGTATATCTCAATGCAAACAGGTGCATGGACTGGTCGCTAGGTGAAATGCAAATACAAGAGATCTTCAGAAACTTCATGGAAAATGCATACTGTGAGAGAGCAATGCATGGCTTTCAAAAATTTCTGCACCCAAATAAACATCTTTTAATTCCATTTTCCCTACAAACTTTGGATTACTCCCCCCCATGCATTGTCACCAAGCTCATAGCTAAAAAGTTTAAAAATCATCAATGCGGACACACATAGCTATTGAACTATTATGTTAAAATAAAGCAACTGAGCTCTAATGAAGGTGTTCAAAATGTGTTAGGAATTCACCAAAAGGGCTACAGCGAAAAACACAGAAATGGACACATTTGCACAGCTGTAAAAGAACAAGAACTCCCAGGTGGTCCTGGTGGACGAGGAAAATGGCCCAAGCACTTCGGGAAACTTTTCGGTGCTGTCTATTGTAGGCGAGCATACGTATGCCCTGTGATGCAGTAATTGCACTCATGGGTGTAGACCCAACAAAAGACACCTATGAACACGTTCAAGCCAGTGTCTCTCATTGTGCCAAGAGTGGGAAATGCCCACCGGCAGTAGCACGGACACAGACATTCCAATGAGCTGAATCTCACAAACACTACGCTGAGGGAAAGGAACAGAGCCCAGGGGAGCGTGCTCTCTGTGCGACTCCACTGACACCCAGGAAAATGTTCAGTAAACCAGATCGGGCCAGTGGAAGGCAGGAGTGACCGGGATCTAGCACACGTAGGCAGTGGTCTGGGTATCGTCTGGGTTCTGTTTCTGTTTGCTGGGTGCTGGTTACATACTTGTGTTCAGCTTGTGAAAATTTGTGATTTACCCATTTTACCTAAATGATTGTTACACTTCAGTAAAAGGTTTTTAAAACAAAATTTGAGGGCCAGTGCTGTGGGGTAATAGGCTAAGCCTCTGCCTGCAGTGCCAGCATCCCATATGGGCACCAGTTCAAGTCCTGGCTGCTCCACTTCTGATCCAGCTCTCTGCTATGGCCTGGGAAGGCAGCAGAAGATGGCCCAAGTGCTTGGGCCCCTGCACCCACGTGGGAGACCAGGAAGAAGCTACTGGCTCCCAGCTTCAGCTCTGGCCATTGCAGCCATCTGGGGCATGAACCAGCGGATGGAAGACCTTTCTCTCTGTTTCTCCATCTCTCTGTCTGCAACTCTGCCTCTCAAATAAATAAATAAATCTTTTTTAAAAACTTCTGAAACCAATTATGAGCCGAAAAGCAGCAACAATGAATTCCAAGGTGAAGACAATGGTTGCACCAGGAAAACAAGACAGGCGGCAGGCAAGGGTTTTGTTGGAGAAAGAGCTGGTGTGTGTGTGTGTGTGTGTTTGTGTGTGTGTGTGTGGTGTTTGCCCCTGCTGCAGGACCCGCCTGCAGAAAGACTACATTCTCTGCATGAGGTGGACCTGGTCTTACTGACCTGGACGCCCGAAATACTTGCTGGTGGGGCACGTTGCAGGTCAGCACAGCCCAGCTCCGCAGGTACATGAGCCCGATGAGCTTGAGAACGTTGAATGCTGGGAGACAGGGCGAGAAGAAGGCGCCCATCCTAGAAGCACAAGGAAGGTCTGTGTGCACGCGCCCTCCTCCACTGATTCTCCCGGGGCTGTGGTCCCAGGTCTGGAAGCCCCGGGGACCAGAAGCCCCAGGGAAGAACCTGGTTCTGAGACTTTGGGGGTTTGCAGCTCATGCTCAAAGATCTAGAGGCACCGTCAGAAGGTCTGAGACCCCTGCCTTCTACCTTTCCGAGTAAGAGAAGTCACCGCAGATGCAGCGTCCCGATCCTACTTTGGAAAGAAACAGTAAACACTGGTCTCTATCTTTACAGCTGAGAGGCAACGACCCCCCCTAGAGGCAGTGGGAAGGCCGATCCTGGGCTGCTACAACTTAGGGAAAACCCGGATTTTCCTGCATGTGGCTAACAAGTTCTACACCTTCAGGTTGGATCAGCATATGGTGATCAGCTACTTTGGCTGGACATCGTGCTGAGCAATTCTGCACATCTTAGCTCATGTAAGTTTCTGTGTTTGTGAAAGGAGGGGTGAGTGTTCAACGTTACATGGAAGGCAAGCTGAGTGATTTGCCCAAAGATGTGCTACTGCTGGAAGCACGCCCCCTTGGGATCTCACGTGGTACACGCATGGGAGTCCGCAAGCTGGGCTGAGAGATCAGCACTGGACCATCCCAGTCACCCTACAAACAGACGCCAACTCAGGGCCAAATCTCAGGTCATCCGACTTTGAGTTTAAATCACTTGATACTGGGTGTGTGTTTGATATAATACTTGATATACTTGATGCAGCTCTGGCATCCTATAGGGGCTCCAATCGGTGTCTCAGCTGCTCCTCTTCTGATCCAGCTCCCTGCTGCGGGTTGGAAAAGCAGTGGAGGACGGCCCAAGTACTTGGGCCCCTGCACCCACGTGGGAGAGTGGGAAGAAGCTCCTGGCTTTGGATTGGTCCAGCTTTGGCTGTTGTGGCTATTTGGGAAATGAAACTGTGGATGGAAGACCTCCTCCTCCTCCAGCCCGCCTCTCCTTCTCTCTGTGTGTAACTCTGACTTTCAAATAAATAAATAAAATCTTTAAAAAAAATAAAATGGGGAAAATAATAGTGAGTCACCCTGTGGAGTTACATCAGGGTTACATCCGCCTCTATGGGTACAGAGGTGCCTAATCTGTACCGCATATTAAGTAAACATTGCACGTGACTTTTCAAGGTGTATTTGTGACAATGCTCTGTGAAATGCAGGAGATGATAAGAACATGGCATTTGACCAGAGGGAATCTCCTTACTCCTCTCAGATCTGCACACACTGATTCTGAAGAGAGAGTGTTCTAATTTCTCTCTGCTAGCTTGTGTTTGCACCACTCGCATTATTGGTGGTGCAATACATCAAACCAGAGATGGTGACATCACTTACGGAGTGCTCCTGAGCTCAGACACGTGGGCAGCCGAGGGCAGCAGGGGCCAGATCCCCCCAGCTGTGACCCCCAAGCTCCTGAAGTTCCCCCCGGGGAAGAGGCAACCTCCCTCCCCAAGGGTGACTCTACTGCTTCCTGGGCAGATTTTTCTGTGACCAATAATGGCTTAAAAACGGATTAATCCCTCCATCCGTCGCATCTGCAAAACCCTCAGGAAACCACTAATAAAACAACTGCACACATGACACGGCCCATTCAGACACTCCTGTCTGAATGCCTAAGGCTGTGCTGATCACGATCATGTCCCATGCAGACTAATGACCGTGCGAGCCCAGATGGTCTGGAAGCCCAGGTAAGAAGCAGCGTTGGTACCTACCAAATCATTCCTTGGTTGTAGACTAAATGCAGCACATTCTCTGCTATCTTGAATTCCCCATACTCAGGCTGGAGGAGAAAAAAAATGAGCCTCTGCATTAGGAAAAAAAAAATTGTCTAAGACTCTTTGCACAAATCAGTGCATCTAGTCCCATTCAAAGGCATTTCAAATGGTTCAAGGAATTAAAAGGCCATTTTATTTTGCTCTAAAACATTTTTTTGGAACCCATGCATGGATTTCTGTTAATACACATTTCCAGGAACTTTTTGAAAACTCCTCTTGGGCATGGATTTAAACATCCTTTTGTGCTGAAATAAACTTAATCTTTCGGGACCGGCATCTCATACTGAAGTGCTCGTTCTGGCTGCTCCACCTCTTTTTTTTTTTAATTAAAGATTTATTTCTTTATTTGAAAGTCAGAGTTACACAGAGAGAAGAGAGGCAGAGAGAAAGAGAGAGAGAGAGAGAGAGAGAGAGAGAGAGAGAGAGAGAGAGAGAGAAAGAGGTTTTCCATCTGCTGGTTCACTCTCCAATTGGCTGCAACAGCTGGAGATGTGCAGATCTAAAGCCAGGAGCCAGGAGATTCTTCCAGGTCTCCCATGTGGGTGCAGGGGCCTAAGGACTTGGGCCATCTTCCACTGCTTTCCCAGGCCACAGCAGAGAGCTGGATCGGAAGTGGAGCAGCCAGATCTGAAACTGGTGCCCGTATGGGATGCTGGCACTGCAGGCCAGGGCGTTAACCTGCTGCGCCACAGCGCGTCCCCAGCTGCTCTGCTTCTGATCCAGCTTCCTGCTAATGTGTCTGGGAAGGCAGTTGATGATGGCTCAGGAGTTAGGGCCCCTGCACCCATATGCAAGACCCAGTTGAAGCTCCTGGCTCCTGGCTTCAGCCTAGCCCGGCCCTGACAGTTGCAGGTATTTGGGGAGAGAAGCAGCAGATGGAAGATTTCTCTCTGTCTCTGTTTCTCTGTCTCTCTCTATTGCATTGCCTTTCAAATAAATAAATAACATACATCTTTAACAAGAAGTCAACTCAAACTTTTAATTCCATTGTCCAGGAATTTCTTGAAGTACCCTTTGTATATGGTGTTCTTTGCCCCAGTGGGAGAACGGTGCCTGTGTGTCCACCCCAGCAGATGGCAGTATGAGAAGGCGATGGCACTTAGCTGTGTATGCCCCTCCCTGTACCCTGACCAGTCTTCTCTGCACAGGGCCCCTGTCAGGCCTCCCCAGGAAGAAAGACCCAGGGCTTTACTTACAAACTTGCTTTCCAGGTCCCAGCACCAGTAGTCACTCAAATACCGAACAAAAAGCCCTCGGAAGAAGTCGATGAGCAGGATGCTGGCCACGGTGAACAGCATGTCAATGATGGACAGCTTCAGCATCTCCTAAAACACAGGAGTGTCCTCCCATGCCGCCAGCCCTGCCTTGGGCCCCTCCTACCGCCCGCCCCACCCATGGGGGAGGGCCCAAGCCAGTGGTCTCTTTGCACTTCACCGGTGCTCAATAGCTATTTGTCAATTTGCGTTTGCGTGTTGGTATCCCAGGCAGCATCACACAAAATGAGGGAAGAGTCTGTGGTCCTGGGCCTCAGAAACTTCTGGAAGCTCACAACTCATAGCCAGCAGACAATGTCTCCTGGGTGAGGGTTGAGGGCAATTGTACAAGATTAAGACTCAAGGGCAAAGGGCAGATTCGGAAGCAAGCGGTCAGTTCTTCATTCTTTAGGACTGGTGTCATTGGGCAAGTTACTCAATCATTTGTGCCTCAGCTTCCTCCTTGTGGCTTTTAGGGTGATAGAAATAGGACTCTCAGGAGGACTGAGCTCCTAGGACAGTCGGTGTCGTGCGAGTCCTTGCACTGACTGTTAGTATTCATTTTGAGAGCTGGGAAATCATAAACCTCACTGAACCTTAGGGACAATGACATCTGGGATTGTTGCTGGGGTCAAGGGACAGGAGGCACCTGGAGGGCTTTGTTAGGGCTAAGGGAAGCACCTGGCCCACGTATGTTTCCCAGCACTGGCCTTGCAGACGCTGGGGGTAGAGCGTGGTCTTGTTGGCCTTGGTGAGAGGCGTGGTGGAGGTGGGAATGCCGGTCTCTTCCAAGGCCCAGGTGCTGTTTCTCCTGGGCTCTACGCCAGGCTGAGCTGTGGACCAGCTCCCTTCTCCAGGACCTGTCCTGGTGGCCAACAAGGCGGGAGGATCCATCCAATAACTTGCGTTATTTTTGGTAGCAGTTTCCTACGGAGAGGAGGAGGAAGGGATGAAGGGAAGGAGGGACAAGGAGGCGTTCACGTGTCTGTAATAAGACTCCATCACAGGGGCACGAGTTCAGCATAGTGGTTAAGCTGCCACTTGGGGGCGCCACACCTCATACTGGAGTCCCTGGGTTGCAGTCCCAGCTCCATTCTTGATCCCAGCTTCCTTGGGAGGCAGCAGATGATGTCCCAGGTACTTGGGTTCCTGCCACCCAAATGGGTTATCTGGATTGAGTTCCTGGCTCCTGGTTCCCCATTCTTAGCCCTGGCCTGACCTATATTCCCTCCCCATCCCCACTACCATGGGCACTTGTGGAGTGAGCCAGTGGATGGGAACTCTTTCTGTGTCTCTCAGATAAACAAAAATCAGGTTAAATAAAAATTAAAAAAAATATTCTGGACACCAAAGCTATCACTGCATTGCTGGCGAATCCTCTCTCTCTGTGTCTCTTTGTCTCTCTCTATCTATCCCTCCCTCCCTCCCTCCAGCTACTTGATTGCTATCAGCCCCCACAATCGCATAATGGAACAAAGTGGGGCAGTAGCCTCTATTGGTCCCAGTAGGTGTCAGATGCTGTGCTGGGTACCACAGGGTATCTCTTCTCACACTTCACAAGAGTTTCGGGTAAGGATTGTCACCCCATGTTCACATGGGGAGACTGAAACCCTGAGTGAAAGTCCAGGGTTCAAGGCTATGTTGCTTGTCGGTGACAGGAAGGGACCCAGGTCTGTCTAACTTCAACTCGCTGAGTGAGAAAGCATGAGTCCTATGGCTTCCTCTGCCTGTGAGCCTTGAAATGGGAGGCGAGTATGATATTCCTTGGACAGACAGCCCTATGGAGGGTCTCTTCTCCCCACTTTGTATTCTCCAGGTGGACTAGGGTGAAAATGGACAGCAAAGCTCCCCCAGGCTGGGAATGGAGGCTCCTGCTAGGCAGGGATGGTGGGGGCCTAGGCTGATCTAATTCTCATGAGATGGTTCTCCTCTCCTGGTTTTCTGAGGGAGTCCCACGGCCTGTCACTCCTCCCAGCATCACTTGCAGTAGCTGTCGGTTGGTTCTCTTATCGGAAAAGGAGACGCAGTGGTGTGATGCAAAGAGACATGGATTCGGCAGCCTCAGGCTCTTCTCTGAGCTTTGTCTGTGTGGCCTCGGTTTTTTTTTATCTGGGAAATGGGGTGCTTTTTCTATCCTCACCTTAAGAAAACCACAACCTCGTTTGGACTTGACGCCAGCAGTGAGCCTGGGGGAGGGGAAGGTTGGCAGGGGTGGGCCAGGGTGCAGGTGCAGGGTGCAGAGCTCACCTCCATGCTCATGCTGTTCACTTTGTCCAGGAGAGCAATGATGAGACTGTAGAGGTTGCCCAGGTACAGCACAAGGACCCTGAAAGCACAAGCCCACCTTGAGAAACAAGACCACCACGTGCAAGGTCACGGTTCTAGACCATCACAGATAGACCGAGACAGTGGCTGCCACACTTGGCTTCCTTCAGGATCACCTTGCAGGCATTTGAAACACAGAATTCCAGAATGCACCCAGCTCCAGTAGCTCCGTGGGCCACTGGGAATCTTTCCACAGGCTTCTCAGGGGTTCTACCCTCAGCTCTGCATTTTAGCAATACAAGAGTAGAGGAAAAAGTGTGGCTTTATGAAGCAGCTCTCTGAAGCGTGGGGTGACGAAGTGTGTGCTCCGTGCCACACTCTGGCTTGTCCAGATTTCCCATACAGGTTTATTCAGTCCTCACAACAGCTCCGTGAGGTACACATGGCCCCACACCACTCCAATTATAGGGCAGGTGGCCTGAGCCAGGGAGGAGTCAAGCGACAAGCTCAGGTTCACGGGGTTAGAGAGAGCCGGATACAATCATTGGAGCTCAGTGCTCTGCCTCTGTGATGCAGGCTGGACGCCTCCGAAGCACAGAGCGACTCTGAGGACAGCTATGGTGTGGACAGCTCTCCACGAAGGGGAGCTGCCAGCGACAGCCTGTGCCAGTCGGGGGCCCACGACTTGATGTCAGTTTCCCTAGACTTGGAAGGCGCTGAGAAACCCATCATTGGGATGGCCCAAGATGCAGCCTTGAGTCTTAAGTTTGGGGAATAGAGAACAGAAAATGGCAGGCTTCCGAATGTTCAATGGGGCAACAGTTGCGCTTGGGGAATCATGCCATTGTCATCATCAGTTGATAGGGGATGACAAGGTGGCCATTCCTACAGGCTGAGCCATCTCTTCTCCAGGGTGGAGGCTTCTCTGTGGGACATCACGGCAACTCACTGTGACTTTCCCTCTTGGGGGCAGTGCCCGGATTCTAGTCCTGTATCCACAGTGTCCAGCACAGGGCAAGGCCCTCGGGGTGCACAGCAAGTGAGGGCTAAAGGAAAGACCACGTCAGTTTCACCGCCTCTGTCTTGGCATCACCATTGCTTTTGGTTTCACTGTGCCTCTCATTGAAGGCACCATGATCCGCGGGGGAGTTAATGGCACCAAAACGCATCTCGCTCTTATTTCCAGACACCGGCCTAAATCTCTTGATGTCTCTGTTTTCCTTGTTTTGATCGTGAATAACGAGGCCAATCTGCGTAATAGGATTGCTGTTTGACCAAATGCAATCATGGAATTGATTCTCCCCCACTGCTTGCTAGTGAGGAAGGAGCCGAGGAAGGCATACCAGGCAGAAGAGGAGGGCAGAAAGACCCAGGGGTAGGAGCCAGGGACCAAGAGCCTGGTCCCCGATCTTCTCTTGACTGTGAGATTTTTCCAACCTTTTGCTCACTCTACTCCTATTGTTTTGGTCTTTGAAATGATGGTTGGATTCCGGGAGCTGGCAAGCTATGGCCTTCCAGGCTGGGGTAGAACATGGTTGCACCCTCTCCTGTGTGTATTGCCCATGGCGCCTTCCGTGTTGGCATTGAGTAACTAGGACAGGCTGTACAACCCATAAACCTAAAACATTTACTGTTGGGTCCTCGCCACCAGATGCTAGCCGACTCCTGGAGGAGGGCAAGTCTTCCCAGAGTGGTCTGCGGCAAGCTGCCAGAATGTTCTCAGGTGTCATTTGAGAAAAGCCAGCGAAACCAGTGTAGATGGCGATGGGAGTTGGGGCCAGGTAGCCGAGGCTCTGAACTCCCTCCTGGGCTCCAGCCGAGGGAATACCCCACCTAAACTCAATCCAAGGGCTCAAGGCACAGATGCGACCAGGGTCCTGGAGGGGGAGGGGAGAGCGCTGAGGCCAGCACTACAAATGATGCAGGTGCCTTACACCTGTGTATGTGTGTGTGTGTGTGGGGGGTCCCAGGCCATCCCCTCGGATGCAACTGGCCTGCTGCTGCTCAGGTCTGCCTATAGCACCTGCTGTCGGGGCCACCAGCTGGTCTGGATGACTCCAGAAGCTTCTAGGCATATCCACAAGAACCTCTGTGAGTCCATGCTTTGGGGATTTTGTTATCAAAACAAGAACTGCTCCTCTCATGTATGGAGAATGGCAGGGTCCTCTTGCACTATGCATAGCCAAGCCATGAGAAAACTGAATGAGGAGGGAAGCCAGACACATTCCATCGTCTCCTTGGCTCTCTTCTCTATCTACTCCTCCCTTCCCCTCCTCCTCTTCCCCCTCCTCCTCTTCTCCAGGACCTTTCAATCCATTCCTTATCTCCTTGTCATCTGGCTCCTCCCCTTCTCCCGCCATCTCCGGCTTCGCTCCCGTTGCACGCACAGGTAGAGTCCTGTGCCAAGCATCGGGAGAAGAGAAGTAAAGGCCTGGCTCTGGAGGGACTTCCACGCCCATGGGGGCTGGGCAGATGGGGGAGCCACCACGTGGTGGCACTTCCTGCCCCGGCTCCCTTACCTGGCCAGCTGGAAGCGCAGCGTGGTCCGTGGATGGTACATCTCCAAGGCGGCGATGAGGTCGAAGGCTGACGGTGCTAACATGGTGACCAGGGACACCACCACGCTCACCTGCCAAGAGAGCACACACCACCCCCTACACTGTGGCTGCCGGCCCCCAGCACAGTCCAGCCTCTTAGCTTAATATTCCATCAGGCTCAGGCCATTCTGAAGTGGACAATCTTCCTCAATCTCAGCTCAACACCCCTCTTTCAAGAGGCCAGCACCGCTTTGCCATGGGTTTTGTCGTCCTTGGAACTCTAGTGACTATTCGCACATGCACTGGGCACTCGCTAGCATCTTTACCACATTTTCCAATTACAACCTCACACTATTTATACTTTGCTGGCTGTGGTTGGAAGATGAAAATAACTGCAACCATTATGAATAGAGAAAGGAAAGCAGAGAAGTAATTTAATATTCCTCTGTACACGGAAAATTAATTACCCAGGGCATATGCCTGGCCCTTCTTCTCTGTGCTTAGGGCAAAATAAAGAGGAATTTTAGCTGGTACGATGAGATGTGTCTGCTAACATAGGACATAATTTTGTGACATTTCTGTTTTAGAAAAAAGCTATCCATCTATCTGTAAACAAACAAATATTTACATAATGTATTTAGTTGGCAGGAAACAGAGGTATAGGAAAAAATGGCCTAGTTCAGTGTCAGTTTTTGATAAACTGCGGTACGTTGATTGATACATATGGGGGAATTGATGACCCAACTGCTGCCTATGCGTTTGGTATTTCGGAGCCCTAAAGCTGTTCAGCATTTTCACGAAATGGTACAAGAGTGGTTTTTGTGCTGTTTCTCTCTCTCCGAGTCTTTACAGATTAACTGAGGCAAACTTTCAGAACAACAGTCTAATAGCAAATGTTAAGAATTCTAAAATTGGGCCCGGCACTGTGGCTTAGCAGGTTAAGCCACCATCTTCAGCACCGGCCATGCCAGCATCCCCTGTGGACACTTGTTTGAGTCCCGGCTGCTCCACTTCCAATCCAGCTACTCTGCCATGGCCTGGGAAAGCAGTAGAAGATGGCTCAAGTGCTTGGGTCCCTGCATCTGCATGGAGGATGGGGAAGAAGTTCCTGACTCCTGGCTTCAAATGGGCCCAGCCCTGGCCATTGTGGCCTTTGGGGGAGTGAACCAGCAGACAGAAGACCTCTCTCTGAATCTCCCTCTCTCTCTCTGTACCTCTGCCTTTCAAATAAATAAATAAATCCTTATAAAAAGAATTCTAAAGTTGCCCCCGGCCTCCCACTTGGTACTTTTTATGTAGGGGGATATTCACACAAGCCACTCGGAATGTGGAGCTGGTTCTGGAAGCCTTAGCTGTAACGTAGAAATACAGAAGCCAGGGTGGATGTTTGCTCAGTGATTTCCTGGTCTCTCATTGTGGTGCCTCGATTTGATTTCTTTTCTTTCTTGCTTTCTTTTTCTTTCTTTTTTTTTAATTTGACAGGCAGAGTTAGACAGAGAGAGAGAGACAGAGGGAAAGGTCTTCCTTCCATTGGGTCACCCCCCAAATGGCCGCTACGGCTGGCGCTGTGCCAATCTGAAGCCAGGAGCCAGGTGCTTCCTCCTGGTCTCCCATGCAGGTGCAGGGCCCAAGCACTTGGGCCATCCTCCACTGCCTTCCCGGGCCACAGCAGAGAGCTGGACTGGAAGAGGAGCAGCTGGGACTAGAACCTGGCACCCATAGGGGATGCCGGTGCCGCAGGCAGAGGATTAATCAAGTGAGCCACGGTGCCGGGCCCATGGATTTGATTTCTAACTCTGGCTCCAGCTCTGGCTCTTGAATCCAGCTTCCCACCAATGCAGCCCCTGGGAGGCAGCAGTGATGGCTGAAGTAATTGGGCCCTGCTATCCCTGACGGAGACCTGGATTGAGTTCCAGATGCCAGCTTTGACCTGGTCCACTCCAGCAGTTGTGGGCATTCAAGGAGTGAACCACCAAAGGGCATCTCTGCACCCCCCCCCCCCAATCATCTCTCTCTCTCTCTTTTTAAATGATTTATTTGCTTGAAAGTCAGAGTTACAGAGAAGGAAAGACAGAGGAAGAGACAGAGAGCAAGAGAGATCTTGCATCCACCAGTTCACTCCTCCAATGGCTGCAATGGCCAGAGCTGAGCCAGGCCAAAGCCAGGAGCTGGGAGCTCCATTCAGGTTTCTGACGTGGGTGCAGGGGCCCAAGCACTTGGGCCATCTTCTGCTGCTTTCCCAGGTGCATTAGCAGGGAGCAAGATCAGAAAAAGTGGAGCAGCCGGGACTCGAACCAGCACCCACAGGGGATGTTGGCGCTGAGGCGGCAGCCTTATCTGCCACGCCACAGCACCAGCCCCTATCTCCCTCTCTCTCTATCTCTCTGCCTTTCAACTATATTAAATAATAAAAAAATATGGAACCACCTAAGTGCTTAACAACTGGCTTCTGACATGCTGTGGAACAGTGAAGGTGTCAGAGTCCACTTCTAGAAGCCATATGTGAGGGAGAGCAGAGCCCAGATGGCACAGAGAGAGAACAGTGGGACCACCTGAGGCCATAACCCTTCCCCACCAACACTAACAAAATCATCCAGCCAAGCCTGGTGCTGCTGCCCGGCTCAAAGCCCTCCTAGTCCAAGTTCAAGGACAAGAAGACTGAACCTTCCCCTGGAGGTATCCCCACCGGCCCGCCTGAGAGCCAGGGGCGCAGGCCCCTTCCGCGTCCCCCCCCCCACCCGAGGGCGCATGCCGGTTGTGGGGTGGGGCTACCTCATTTTTTTCCCAGAGTGTCAGCTCCTTCTTGGACTGCTCGAGCTTCTGGGACCGATCCACCACGAAGTAGATGAGATAGATGCTCCCAGCCAGCGAGAGGAGCACCAGGACGTTGGCCACAATCCGCAGACAGATGGTCACTGCCCTGGGGGTGAGGACAGACACAAAGACATGCAGGGGGAATGGGGGACACCCCGAGTCTGCCTGTCATCCCACAGGAAGCACCTGACACGGCGCGGCATCTCTTCCCTGGAGACCGTGAGCTCCCACACTTTGGTCCGTTTCGTTGCTATGACTCAGCTGCTGGAATAGATGTGGCCCACAGAGCTACCTGCTAGCTAACGAGGAAATAGAGCAGCTATGAGCTGGGATGTGGGCTCTGCTCTTTCCTCACGTGGTCTCACCACCTGCGTGCCTCTTAGCGTGCGGGCAGCTCTTGGAATGCACAGTGATCTAGGTCCCAGCTCCATCCCCGACTCCAGCTTCCTGCTAAGTGCACGCGGGAAGTGGGTGGGGGGTTGTTTCCAACTTCCTGGCTTCAGCCTGACCCAGCCCCAGCTGTTGCCAGCATTTGGGGAGTGAACCAGCAGATGAGAGCTCTCTCTGTCTGTCTCTGTCTCTCTTTCTTTCATATAAAAGTAAATCAACAAATAAAAACATCTGTTTTGTTATCTAGGTCAGAGAGCAGGAAACTGGGCAAACTGGCTGATTGTGGGGTCTCTAGATGGGAGATACTGCTGGAGAACATGACTCCTGTGCCTTCGGACCTCGCGCCTGGAAGAGCGAGTATTACAAAGAAAGGAGAATTGCTGGCAGCTGTGAAAATGAGATGCAAACGCTGACGATTTTTGCACCACTCTGAAATAAAACAGCGCTGAATTCAGCCCGGGGCCTCGGTACCTACAGGTTTTTGCTCTTTTTCTTTTCCTGTTCTTCCAGAATCGCCTCCTTGAAGGAAAAACAGACACGGGTTAAGAGCTCAGCACCATCATGAATTAGAGTCCTTAGAAACGGCTTACCTAGCCCTTGAATGCTTATCCCTGATGGCTAAGACTTTGTTCTGGAAGATTCTGTGGATATCAACCACTTACATGCCAAAATGGAGGAAAAGGGAAGGGGCTCATTGGGATCATTCAAATCACCTGAATTTTTTTGTCTTTTTTTTTTCTTTTTGTCTCAAGAGGGCACCATTTAATTGTCTGTGTTCAGGTTTCTGAGTGCTTTGGACAGCAGTAACTTCTAAGTTAAAACTGGAAGGCTATGTCCTCACTTATGTATTTATTATTTACACATTATACAAAGGACTTTGAAAAAAATCAGGAAAAATGCACATTGCAAAAAAAAAAACTTCATGGATTTCAATTTTTTTTTGCATCAAAATAAAATTCCCTTTTAATTTTGTCTTTCCAAGAACAGTTTGGAGTCCCCTCCTATATGGGTAGCATGTTAAGACTCCATGATATAAGTGATCAAAAATACACATTCCAAAATGTGACGAGGGAAACATTTTAAAGATGAAAATTAAGAGAAGCTCCAATATTTTCTTCCCAGAACCCATGGGACCCTGGGCAAATCTCCAAGGGCCGCATTTGGTAGACAGGTGTCCTTGAACCACGAGCCTTGTGGGCATGGGGCGGTGCCCGCTCAGGTCCTGCGAACCGGCCCTCCAGACCGCCCTCTCCTGGCTCGCCCGCTCACCCTGATGCTGTTCACAATGGCTGCGGTCTTGCTCTCTGCAGCCTCAGGGTTCCCAATCAGATAATCCCAGGCGCAAAACACCCGCCAGCAGAAGGCGTAGTTGTCATGGGAAGCGCTGGCAAGGCTGGTGCGGGAGTTCTTGGCCATCCTGCAAAAGAGGACTCAGAACAAGGCGACCGGAAGAGCGTTGGCAGTGGGGTCATCCCCTGGGGCTGGGGCACACTCAGCCGTGGCAGCCGTGAGCAAAAAGAGCTGTCCCCTCTGGTAGGTACGGAGTCCTGGCCGGCCTTCAGCCCACACTTCCAGCTGGCCCTTTTGCATTGCATTAGCCACGGAGGGTGCAGCTGATGGCTGCGGGTGTGTGTACCCTGGGAGTTGGCCAGGCCACCTGTGTGCAGCTGTGCTGGTGGACAAACTGTGGAAGCTGCCTTCTTGGTGCTCATGCTACCCCCAGAAAGGCCGCGGAAGCTGTGGTCCCCTCCCCGACACCACCCTCCTTTAGATAGTCGAAGGCAAGAGTGAGGACCCTTCCCCGGATGCAACTGCCCTGTCCCCTAGATCTCTGGCTGTCATCTCCATCCACAATTCTTGCTCCCACCTGCCTCTCACAGGTCAACATCCAGTAAAGGGCCTATGTCTTCCAGGCAGGGTCCCGAGGCCGCCAGGAGCTAAGCCGAGAGCCCCAGATGAAGCGAAGGCCCCCGTCACCTGCTCTAGTCACAGGCTAATCTATGCTTTGCTAAATGCCACAAGCGGCAGGGTGCTAGAAGAGGGTAGCCCAGATCAGAGTCCCCAGCTCCTGGCATCAGCCTGGTCCAGCCGTGACTGCTACGGGCATTTGGGGAGTGAACAAGCAGACAGGAGCTCTCTCTCTCTCTGCCACTTTGCCTTTCAAATAAATACATACATACATAAATAAATACATCTTTTTTTAAAGAAAAGAACCTGTCCCAGGTCACAGGCAGATAGATAACGGATGGGTTGCTTTGCATTCTGCCACATCTGAAACTTATCATTCAACTCTCCATCAGTACAGCTATGACATGGCCTAAAATGGCATCAGTTGTCAAGTCTGTGTGATTCTTGTCTCTCTAGAACCCAGCACAGACCCTAGCACCAAGTTGGAGGTGTTCAGTAAGTGCTGATTAGAAACAACAGCAGCAACAACAAAACCTCCTGTAGCCTTGGTCTCCTCATCTATAAAATGGGTACAGCGACGCTTTAACCTCACAGGGTTGTTGGCATGACTCAGGGAGGTCAACCATCTCACGGGGGTTCTTGCCATGGCCTTGGAGAAACTGAGCAGTCGTACTTTTTTAAAAGGATGATGAAGCTGTAGGCAAACACAGCCATCCCCACCAGGAAGTACGCCAAGGGCAGTCGGTAGCCGGCTCTGCCGATCCTCCTCTCCCTGCTGTAGTAGCCGTAGAATAGGACTGAGTACTGCAGGTAGCCCTGGGAAGACAGCGCCCGGGTGGCTCCGATGCTGAGAACTCCCAGCCCCGGAGCTGCCGCCCATCGCCCCCTCCCGCCGGAAGGGAAGGGTGGGGTCAGCCCCGCCTCACCCCCAGGGACCAGACCGTGTCCAGGTCTTGGGCGGACGCCAGGAGCTCGCTGGGGATGGTCTTGCTGGCTGTGCTGCCGAAGGGCTGGCCTGCAATCAGCTGGGAAGAGAGAAGAAGGTGTCCTGGGGGCCCCGGGGAGGGGACCACACGTGGGAGTCCTCCGGGAGCTGGGAGCTGGGTCTCTGCTTGGCTCTCACGGGTGGAAAATCAGTCAGGTGGCCAGATTTCTGCCTTGTCTGGTGAGGGCCAGTTGGGGGGGCACTCTGAGTGAGACTGTGGGGAGTTATGGAGGCCATCGGGCATCTGTAGAACCATGGGGACATTGATTTGGAAGGATGCAGTTTGGATGAGAGATGGGTTATCTTTTTACCTCGGATTGCCAAACTGCCTGTTAGGTCCAATCAGGGCCCTGGCCTCTTTTGCTACGGCCAGGGAGCTAAGAATGATTTTTGCAGTTTTCAATGGTCCAAAAGAAAAAAACAAAAAATATCAAAGGAAGACTCCTATTTTTGTGATACATAAAAACAATGTGGAATCCAAACTGCCGGAGCCATCTGTAAAATGTTCGCGGGGACCCAGCTGCTCTCACGGTTTGTGTCCAGTCTGTGGCCACTCTGGGGCCACTCTGCAGGTCATAGTAGCTGTGGTGAGGAGGGAAGGGCCCTGAAATATGGACTGCCTGGCCCTTTGTGGGGCCCGCTCGTGAGCTCTCACTCCAAGCCCCGGCTCCCTCTTAATTCTGTTTTCAACGCGCGGTGCGTTGTCCTCGGCTGCTGTAGCTCTTACCTCGGGAAGAACGATGAAGGCCCCCGTCATGATGGTGAGCACGATGTTGATCCCAAATAACCATCTCAGGAATATGAAATAGGAGGCGACGCCTGAGCCGAAGTGGCCTGCAGAGAGGAGAGCGAGCGTGTGGGCGATCCCCGCGGGTCAAGGTCTCTGCCGAGTGACCCCGCGGCTCGTTCTGGACCAGTAAGACTGATGCTATTGCTGTTGTGTCTATCAGAGTGCAGCCTCCAGATACTAACTTAGATACACCAAGGGGGGAGCAGAGGGGGGCAGGGGTGGGGTGGGAGGAGTTGGGGGGATAGCTTTATAGTCCCTAAAATTCTACATCAGAACTACGGGAAATCTGTTCTCTGTAGAGTGATAAAAAATTTTTGAAAAATTACAAAAAGATTACATGAACACAATCTACAAGTTCTACCTGCAGAAAACAAAATCCCCAATTTGCCTACGATACAATTCAATGCCTATTTCCCTATTCCTTTAAATCATTCCTTGCAAATTAACTATGTCCATGTGTGTTAAGAAGCATGGGTATCTCTGGAGAATTTTGCTGCAATTCTTTCCTATTCTGCATCATTTTGAGAATTCCAAAAATCTTTCTGAGGGTCCTCGTATCTTAATTTCAAGATGAAAATTTTGTCAGGGTGAAAAACGAGGTTAACCTTCTCTCTGCAACTTTATCACCCATGTGCACTTATTCTAAAATAAACAGGGTCGTGAGGAACAAATGTTTATCTGTCGAGCATAGAGGAAGTTAAGAGAGCAGGCGCTAGTCTGACGATATTCTGCTGCAGGTGGATTTGTGTCGCCCTTTATTTAAAAAAAGCTCTTGGCTGGCGCCGCGGCTCACTAGGCTAATCCTCCACCTGTGGCGCTGGCACCCCGGGTTCTAGTCCCGGTCGGGGTGCCGGATTCTGTCCTGGTCGCTCCTCTTCCAGTCCAGCTCTCTGCTGTGGCCTGGGAGTGCAGTGGAGGATGGCCCAAGTGCTTGGGCCCTGCACCCCATGGGAGACCAGGAGAAGCACCTGGCTCCTGCCTTCGGATCAGCGTGGTGTGCTGGCCGCAGCGGCCATTGTGGGGTAAACCAACGGCAAAGGAAGACCTTTCTCTCTGTCTCTCTCTCACTGTCCATTCTGCCTGTCAAAAAAAAAAAAAAGCTCTTAAATATTTATAACAAGTTTCTGTTGGCCACATGAGTTGAAAAACACAAACCATCACAAAGAAAAGAAGTAAAAGATGCCCATTCCAAGGTCACTAAATTAAAATCACTACTATACGTAATTGCTAGTAGGCTTCTAGTCTAACCCTAATTATTCTGTATACATAAACTTTCGGGTAAAGTTGATATCGCTCTACAGCACGTTTCTCCCGTTATGAATAATTCTTCTATGAAATGGATCTTAGTGTTCCATGGCAGGGATTGGCTCCTTAGGTAGCCGCTCCTTGTTTGGTGAGTTCCCGGCAGGATGAATGGCTCCGCAGTGAACAGCGCCTCTGAGGTGGGGTTTCCTAGAACTGCAGGTTGAGAAGGGAAGCCAGCTGAGGGGTGGTGGGGGAAGGGGCCAGGCCAGTTTGGCTGGGGTCTCAGCTGCAGCCTTGCCCAGGCTGATCCTACAGCTATCATTGGAGCACAAGTTACAGGGGTCAGACTCGGCGCCCAGCTGTCAGGCATTGCCTCGCGGCCATTGGTGGGCTTGGAGGAGGAGGGCGGGCGATGCGCGCCTCGCAGGTGGGACCAGGTGGGCAGGGACAATGCTCTAGGGAAGGGGGCAACTGTGCACCCTGGCAGTGAGCGCTCTGCGTGGTGGAGGGAAAGACAGTGCAGCTTGCCGTTTAAATATTGAAAATGTTCTTCCAAATTCATCAGCTAACTTTTAGTGGTTTTGTGGATATAGAGTGTTTTTGGTTTAGCTTTTAAAAAGTGTTTAATTATTTTGATCTATTTGAAAGGCAGAATGGGGGGGGAGAAGGAGAGAGAGAGACAGAGAGAGACTTTACTCCCCTAAATGCCTGCAACAGCCAGGGCGAGGCCAGGCAGGAGCCAGGAGCCAGGAGCCAGGAGCCCACCCCTTCTCTAGTTCTCCCATGTGGGTCCCAGGGTCCCACGCACTTTAGCCATCATCTGCTGCCCCTAGGATGCACTAGCAGCAAGGCAGATTGAAAGCAAAGGAGCTGGCATTGTGCCCAGCATTCCCATATGGGAGGCGGGCATCCCAGAGTGTGGCTTAACCTGCTGTGCCACAGTGCCAGCCCTCCAAAACCGCTCCTTAAATATAATTAAATATCACGGGGCTGGCGCTGTTGCATAGCAGGTAAAGCTGCCACCTGCAGTACCAGCATCTTATATGGGTGCCAGTTCAAGTCCTGGCTGCTCCACTTCTGATCCAGGTCTCTGCTGTGGCCTGGGAAAGCAGTATGAGATGGCCCAAGTCCTTGGGTGCCTGTACCCTCATGGGAGACCTGGAAGAAGCTCCTGGCTCCTGGCTTCGGATCGCTGCAGCTCTGGCCATTGCAACCATTTGGGAAGTGAACCAGACCTCCCTCTCTCTGCCTCTCCATCTCTCTCTGTGTAACTCTGACTTTCAAATTAATAAATAAATCTTTAATAAATAAATAAAAAAACACAATACTTTCTTTGGTGATCTCTTTCTTTACTCCTAAAATTTTTCTATTAACTTACTATTTATTTTTTTCATTTGAGAGGCAGAGACCCAGAGGGTGTGAGAGAGAGGCAAAGACATACACACAAAGAGATCTTATCTCTGGTTCAATCTCTAACTGTCCCCAACAACTGGGGCTGGGCTGGAGCCAAAACCAGGAGCCAGGAAACAACCCAGGACTCCCATGTGGGTGGCGGGACCCCAACTGCTCGAACTATTCCTCGTGCACTGGCAGGGAGCTGGGATCAAACCCAGGCATGCCGAGGCGGGGCGTGGGCATCTACACTGGATGTGCTGAGTGCCCACTCCTCCTCCTTCTCTTTTATATTAATTAGATAGGTCCTCTTGCCAAAGCTGAAGTCACAGTGCCTATATTTTCTCCAGTTCCTTCGTGGTTTCCTACTGCGTATTTAGGCCTTTAGTGGAACTTTCAAGTGGAAGAACCAAGCTTCTTAAATAGTCGAATCAACTGTTCCAGCAATAACTCAGTAACAGACCGGCTGCAACAATGACCGCAACCGAGAGGTCTGTGTGCATTCCTACCTGTCTCTGAGTTTCTTTGCTTTTACCTTTGAATTGTCAGCCAATTTCAGCACAATCCTGTTCGGGTCGTAGCTTTTACGATGCAGTTTAACATTTTGGCCTGGCGGGTGCCGCAGCTCACTAAGCTAATCCTCCGCCTGCGATGTCGGCACCCCGGGTTCTAGTCCTGGTCGGGGCGCCGAATTCTGTGCCGGTTGCCCCTCTTCCAGGCCAGCTCTCTGCTGTGGCCCGGGAGTGCAGTGGAGGATGGCCCAAGTGCTTGGGCCCTGCACCCCATGGGAGACCAGGAGGAAGCACCTGGCTCCTGGCTTCGGATTGGTGCAGCGCCGGCTGTAGTGGACATTTGGGGAGTGAACCAATGGAAGGAAGACCTTTCTCTGTGTCTCTCTCTCTAACTCTGCCTATCAAATAAGTTAAAAAAAAACTCTGAAAATGCAGTCTTTCATATTTGCTTGTTGCAATACCCCCATGTGACTTTTTTTTCCTCCTTATTTCTCACTTGATGCTTTGGGGTTTGTGTTGAATGAGCTGGAGGGGGAATGTACCGGGAGAGACCATCAGAGCCGCCTTGGGAAGCCACGCAGAGACTGTTACCATCCTGGGAGGGGGTGGGACAGACCCGTGCCTCCCATCCCGTGTCTCCCGGGAGTCTGGGCAGCCCCAGCCATGCCAGAGCACCCAGCACTCAGTGTGAGGGCCAGGACCCGCCAGGTGCATCTGGGGCTGTGGATTGCGGTGCCACAGGTCCCGCACGCCCGCCCTCCCGCCCTGCCCCAGGTGCAAGTACTTACTCTCGATTTTCTTTATCCTCATTTCCCAGGGAATGAAGATGACCAGGAAGTTACAGGCGAGGCGAGCACATTTCTTCCAGAGCTGGGAGGGAGGAGGCAGCAGGATTAGAGGATTGAGGATGCCACTGGGGACTGCAGTCACCTGCTGGTACCACTGATGACGGAAGCCCTGGGGTAAAGTGGCCCCCTTGCCCTGACCAGGAGAGTGGTCGCCTGCCTTAGGCTCGAACGCCAGTATCTGCACTGGGGGACATGGAAGGTTGCCTTGCTCATACCGTTCCTGATGCAGGAACTAAGAACAGTGGAAATATTTCAGGAATGAAGTCAAAATACTCCCACGTGTCCCCATCATAGACCATGGTAGCTACCGGTCCAGCCCACTTCCCAGGTGGCTACAACTCACGTCCCTCACTGAGGACCCAGAGCCTCCCCTGATTCGAGCCCCACACTGCTGTGCCCCTTGCACCCTGCAGCACGGCTGGTTCCTCAGCCTCACTCCTGGCCAAGGCTGCCAGGGATAAGCCTGGAAACGCATCTTGTCTTGAGGATGAAAGACGCAATGGCCAAGAGGTCAACACAAATTTTTTTTTTTCTTGAAGGAGAGTAGAGAGTAAAGCAAATGACATGCTGACACGGGCTCTGCTTTCCAAGAAAGAGAGAGAAAAATCGACAGGTGTGCATTTTAGCACATGAGCAAGCTGGGCTTGGGTCAGAAGCAAACAATACCACTGCAGGAGGACGGGTAACAAAGGCAACACCGAATTCTGCACCCTAAGGCGCCTCCTGGGCGTGGCTGCTAGGGCCAGACAGCTGCTTATAAATGACAATCTGCATTTTATCAGAAGTTGGGAGTGTTCATCTGTGCTAACAGCTGATATGCAAACACAACCTCTCCCACGTCACAGAGTCTCCGTAGTCAGAAACAGATTCGCTCTGTAAACTCTGAGCAATGCTGATCGCATCCCACCTGGCCTTACCTTTGCATCACCTGGCTTATCTCCTAGCCACTGAGAGAAAGACCAAGGCTGTGAGGTCCTTCATGCCCAGTGCTGTCCACAGGCCGGGGCTCAGACACCCCTTGCGAAGGTTTGGGGTTAGAAACCATTGGAGGAGCCAGCACTGTGGTGCAGCAGGTAAAGCTGCTGCCTGCGACACCAGCATCCCATATGGGTGCCCGTTGGAGTCCCGGCTGCTCCACTTCCAATACGGCTCTCTGCTAATGCACCTGGGAAAGCAGCAGAAGATGGACCAACTACCTGGACCCCTGCACCCACGTGGGAGACCTAGAAGAAGCTCCTGGCTCCTGGCTATGGCCTGGCTCAGCCATGGCCTTTGTGGCCATTTGGGGAGTGAACCAGTGGATGGAAGATCTCTTTCTCTCTGTGTCTCCCTGTCTCTGTGACTCTGCCTCTCAAAAAAAAAAAAAAAAAAAAAAGAGAGAGAGAGAGAAGAAGAAGAGAAAGAAAAAAGAATTACTCCCTTTACTCCCTTTTGTTGTCTTTGGAAAGGTTTATAAGTGGTTTATAAAAGGTGCAATTATTCACGGTGAGTGTCAGGTGCCTAGGCTGTGTTTCCTTGGGCCTGCAGAGGGTGAAGAAGGCATAAAAAGCACCAGCTGGAGTAGTTTGCTTTTGAGTCGAAGGGACACAGGGACACAGACATCAATGCCATGGTGAGTGACAGGCCTTTAGCTCTGGGGGAGAAGTGACTTAAGCAAGGTCAAGGGCCATCTAGCTGGGGAGCTTGTACTTGGGTCAATGAAACCCAATAGGTAGGCAATGGCCAGATCAGGCAGGCCATGGGAGACGTCTGGATTTAGTTCTACCTGTAATGGGAGCTATTATTATTACTGCCATTAGCAAGGGGTGGAGTGAGCGGTTTGCTCTTTCTGGCTCCTGAGCAGAGTTGAGTGGACCGAAGAGGGACCCTTTAAGAGGCCACCAGCATCTATTCCATCAAACGCAGGTGCTTTTAGTCCTGTGCAGAGCAAGTGTTCGTGAAAAATCACACCACGACAGCTCTCAGAAGGGTGAAATCGCTCGCTCTCTCTCTCTCACTCGAAATCTTTTTCCTTTTTTTTACAGGCAGAGTGGACAGTGAGAGAGAGAGACAGAGAGAAAGGGTTCCTTTTGCGGTTGGTTCACCCTCCAATGGCCACCGCGGCCAGCGTACTGCGCTGATCCGAAGCCAGGAGCCAGGTGCTTCTCCTGGTCTCCCATGGGGTGCAGGGCCCAAGCACTTGGGCCATCCTCCACTGCACTCCCGGGCCACAGCAGAGAGCTGGCCTGGAAGAGGGGCATCCGGGACAGAATCCAGCGCCCCGACCAGGACTAGAACCCGGTGTGCCGGCGCCGCAAGGCGGAGGATTAGCCTAGTGAGCCGTGGTGCCGGCATGAAATCTCTTGTCGGTGTCACGTGGGAAATGAAAGACACGGGATGTCAGAACTGGGAGAGTCTAGGAGCCAAACACGGGGGCTGGTGTGGCATAGTGAGCTCAGCATCGAGTTAGATCTGTAATCCACACTGAGTTTACTGTTAGTAAAAGACCTAAGACCTTCGCATTGCTTCCGATGGTTTTTCCTAGGATTTATTTTATTTATTTGAAATATAGAGTTAGAGAGAGAGAGGGGGGAAAAGACATGGAGAGGTTTTCCATCCGCTGGTTCACTCCCCTGATGGCCGCAAAGGCCAGGGCTAGGCCAGGCCAAAGCCAGGAGCTTCATCTGCATCTCCCACGTGGGTACAGGTATGCAAGCACCTGGGCTGTTTTCTGCTGCTTTCTCAGGCACATTAGCAGGGGGCTGGGTGGGAAATGGAATAGCCGGGACTCGAACTGGCTCCCATATGGGATGCCTGTATCATGAATGGTGGTTTCATACATTATGCCACAATGCCAGCCCCTGTTTAATGTTACACGCTGTCTGAACCCAAGTGAAGGGCCTGATACTACTTTTTAAATGTTGGCCTTGGGTCGGCGCTGTAGCATGGTAAGTAAAGCCACTGCCTGCAATGCTGGTATCCCATCTGGCTGTTGGTTTGAGTCCCAGCTGCTCCACTTCTGGTCCAGCTCCCTGCTAAGGGCCTGGGAAAAGCAACAGATGATGGCCCAAGTGCTGGGGCCTCTGACACCCACATTGGGAAACCCAGAAGAAGCTCCAGCTCCTGGCTTTGGCCCGGCCCAGCGCTGGCTGTCGTGGGCATTTGGGGAATGTCTTTATCTCTCTGTGTTTCTCTGTCACTTTGCCTTTCAAACACATAAAGAAATCTTTTTTTTTTTGTTAAAATTCCAAACCTGAAAAAATATAATATTCAACATTGGGGCAGATATTGGGAGGCCAATAAGTTCTTTAACTGTGGATGACAACATAAATGAAGGATTTTGAGAAATAATTGTAAAAAATACATCAGGAGTCACGAAAGACTTTGGGCCATGTGTTTTTTGTTTGTTTGTTTTTTTGTTTTGTTTTGGTTTTTTTTTTGCAGTGATCAGAGCTCTGACATTTAGCCTTCAAGGAATTACAAGACAGGGCAAAGTAGCTGTGGGCAGGTGTTCTTTACGGGAGTACTGCCGATAACGATGAAAACCCGGGAGCCATTTAAATCATCACCAGCAGACAGGTGATGAACTAAACGCTGTTCATTTATCTGATGCATCATTAAAAACACAGCGAGTGTCAGTGAGAAAAGAAGACAGACGTTTTTGGACAGTGGAGTCCCTGTGCTGATACGCAAGAGCACAGAGCCCAGGAAGTGGAGAAGGGAAAGTGTTTTTTTCTTTTTTTTTTCCTTTGCTGTCTGAGCACTTACTGAATGCCCTTATAGACAGATCAGTTCCAAGTCAACTTTGGCTTTCAGTAGCCGGGAAAATGAACCTCCCCTCCACCCCCCACGCACACCTTGGAGTTGTGTTGTGAAGAGGGCATTGGAACACGCCCACAACTGCATGCAGGTGTGGAGAAAATACAGCTTACACAGAGGGGGCCTGAATCCCACTTTCCACGAACAATGTATGAACAGGGCGAAGTGAGGGAAGAGGTTAGACCGTTCTCCCCAGGAAGACATCCCTCTCCTGGGCAGGAGGCTTATCAGGTTCTGATCACAGTTAGAAGCCTGGGGCTGAAATCCAGGCTCTGGGAAATTCACACTCTCCAGCTGCTGATGCCCCATGCTCACAGCCCAAGTCTCACAGCAAGTGCATTGGCAAACGCAACAGCCTGGGGATCCCAGCGAGGGGCGTTCGGGCTTTTTACCTCTGCACCTGCTGCTTGGTAGCCTCGGGTCCTGGTCAGCCTCCCTTCAAACTTCAGCACGATCTCCTTGGCTCGCCTGAGAGGAGAGAAGTGTGGGGGAGAAGGCAGAGTTGTGGAGCTGTCATTTTCTCAGAATGTGTGCAAAGGCAACGGGAGTCCCTGACCAAACAATGTAGCAAGATGCTGTCGCTTCGTTTCCGGATTTTTAATGAACTTTTTTTCTTTAACATTTAAATGGATCAATTAGTCTAGAAATGATGAAATCATACTAGAATTAGTTCCAGCAGATGTTCTTTTCTTTTTTAAAGATTCATTTGTTTGAAAGAGAGGGAGAGAGGGAGAGAGGGAGAGAGGGATAGAGAGAGAGAGATCTTTCATCTATTGGTGCACTTGCCAGATGGCTGCAACAGCCAGGGCTGGGCCAGACCAAAGCTGGGAGCCTGAAACTCCACCCAGGTCTCCCACGTGGGTGCAGGGGCCCAAGCACTTGCACCGTCGTTTGCTGCCCTCCCGTCTACATTGGCAGCAACTGGATTGGAAGCAGAGCAGCCAGGCCTGGAACCAGCGCTCTGATACAGGATGCTGGCATCACAGGCAGGGGCTTGCCCAGCTGTGCCACGATGCCCATCCCACAGCTGGTCTCCCTTCCTGATTCACTGGGAACCACTGGCCTTGGAAATCCAGCTGCCTCACTTAGTAATCTTTGTCTGTAGTCAGTTCTTGGGAAGTGAATCAGACCTCGGATAATACCCTTTGAGAAATGGGTGATGTCGTGAGCAGCCTGATTCAGCCCAGAATACTCTTGACACACTAGCCGATCCCTGCCTTGTGTGAGTTGACCTAACAGTTCCCCTTGAATGGATGGGAATCACTGGGATGGGTGCTGAAATCAACACCCAAATGAGCAACAGAGTTAGAAAATAAGTGTTAGTGACCATCTGGCCCTCAGAGACAAATGTCACCTAGCCACACCCACCGTGCTGCAGAGACCCTCCTGATGCAAGGGCGGGCGCCCTCTCTTGGCCGCAGTAGTCCGTGTTTAAGAACTTAGCTCTTCCCAGTCAGCCGATTTGCTGGTTCAACACATTTCCTTGTTTGGTTGTTCTGCACGGTGCATCCATCCCAAGTGACCTGCCAGTTACACCCACTGGGTTGGAGTCCTTTCTAGGAACAAGTGACCTCTTCAAAATAAGACCTAACCAGAGTGCCTGCTGTTGAACTCCTCTCCACAGCCCAGCCGATGCCCTGGTCTCACTCTGGTCAGAACCGGAAGCGCAGGTAAGAGTGAGAGGTGGCATCTTACCCTGGACCACGGCTATCACGTTGTGGTGTATTTTTCAGACACTACAAGCATCCGAAAACTAAAGGCCTATCAAAGTCAGATAAGAATTCGCTTGATTTATCTCTGCTTTGTTTTTCTTGCAAATATTTTCCAAACACCTATTTTGGGTCAAACGTGGTGGAACTCAGAGGTGCATTGAACGAATAGAGCTGCTGCCGTGCACAAAGACGATATCTGGATGAAGGAGACCCCAAGAGACAATGTGAATGACAAGGGCTAGGGCAGAGGCGTGTTCTGGTGGGTGGCAGGGAGGGGCGGACCTACCAGGACTGACAGTGTGCCTCCCTGCGGGGAAGCAGGTGCGTGCTACGTCTTTCCAGAGACGCGGGGTCTCTGTGCGGGGTGAGGCTCCGTCAATCCTCAGCGGTCAGAGTCCAGTGCTTTCTGCACTCTCCCCAGAGGTGCCGGGACGGACCTCAGCAGGTGCAATCAGTGAAGCGTCGCTCCAGTAGGTTCTCAAGGTGACGGGGGGCTGTGTGTGCGACGAGGGTGACACATGCGGGTGCTCAGAGGTGAGCCGCACGCTGAGAGCTCTGCCCTCTCCATGGCCTGGCCGGTGGTGTGGCCCAGCAGCGTGGCAGGGGGCCGGGTTTGCTTTCTGCCTCCCAAGGGCTTTGGCAAAAAAAGTATCCTTCCCCCTGCTCTGCCCACGAGGTTCAAAAGGCCTGACCTGTGATTCAGAGAACCATGACCCCATGCCATTTTCGAATGACTTAAAACTTATGCTGGATCACGTACCATTTTGTGGTTTTTTTTTTGATAAATTGCCTTGATGATGACTTTGGTAAAACAAACAAACAAACAAACAACAAAACCCCTCTGTTCTGATACAAAAGCACACTGGGCTAGGGGTCAGAGAGCCTAGGTTTCAAGCTGTGGGTAGCCTGAGTTACTCTCTTAATGTATCTGAGTATCAGTCTTCTCATCTGACAGATGGGCGTAATGCTCTCCTTACTCATACAACTGGAAGTGATGACAGATGGGAGGCAGAAGATGGAGACTGGAAACTTTCAAGAGTGAAGGCTGGGGCTGTCCTTAGGTCCATGCCGCAGCTGGCTCTGAGGGCGGGCTGCTCAGATGGGAAGCCCAGTGCCTGGCTGGAGGTCTAAGGAAAGGATGAGTCAGTGGGAAAGAAATGCAGGACGAATAGGTGGCAGACACGGGGAGAAAGGGATTTCTGCTTGGCAAGATCTGACCATGGTTCTGTCCACCAGCGAGTGCCCGATGACCAGGTCCCTCCTCCCCTAGGCTCCAGATCTCAGAGGCACAGCCCATGAACATCCTGCCACCTCCTTTGCTGTGAGCCCAGGCATCGGCATCGGCCTCATTCAGTATCCATCACTCTAAGTGAGCAACTGTTATGCACCAGACACAATGCTAAGCACGCCCATGGTTTAGCCTACTGAATCCTGTAATTGCTGCTTGCGGACCTCAAATCTCTGTATGCAAAAGAAACAGCCAGAGTGCGAGTTCCAGGTGCTGGGTTCTTTCCCAGAGTTTGATTCTGTTAAGTCTGAGGGCATCAGAGTTTCTGAGTTTTAAAGCCCCTGAGGGGGCTGGCGCCATGGTGTAGTGTGTTAAACCACCCTCTGTGACACCAGCATCCCACATGGGTGCGGGTTCAAGTCCTGGCTGCTCCACTTCCAATCCAGCTCTCTGCTGTGGCCTGGGAAAGCAGCAGAAGATGGCCCAAGTCCTTGGGTTCCTGCACCCATGCGGGAGACCTGGAAGAAGCTCCTGGCTCCTGACTTTGGTTTGGCCCAGGTCTAGCCGTTGCTGCCATTTGAAGAGTAAACCAGCAGGTGGAAGATCCCAATCTCCCTCTCTGTGTCTCGCCCCCTTTCTATAACTCTTTCAATTAGATAAATACATCTAAACAACAACAACAAAAAAGTGTCCCGAGGTTGCACCTGCTGTTGATTTGGGCTGTTCCTTACCATCCCTTCAGCTTGAAGAAGAAAGACACAGATGTTTAGAAACATGAATAGAATTACCCAAATAGCCCCTGGCTAGAGGTTGATAAAAGTGGTGTTGGATTCAGGCAACCTGTGTTCCCTCTCCAGTGCTAAGCTCTTCCATGGGCAGACTCTATTATGTGCTAAGCACCAGCGGAACCTGACTTCGCATAGAGTTTTCTCCTGCAGAGGGAAGTAGGAGCCAAGCAGTTACACTGAGCATCTGTTTTTATTCTGCCTTATTTTCCTGTTTCCAGTGAGTCTGAGGACTGGTGTTAAAATCTAGCTTTTTAGGGGCCAGATCTTTTGGGCAGCTGTGAAGATATCACATGGAATGCCCTCACCCCATGTCAGATTGCCTGGGTCTGAGTCCTAGCTCCACTTCCAATTCCACGCACACCCTGAGAGGCGGCAGGTGATGGCTCACGTACTTGGGTCCCTGCCACCCACATGGGAGACCCGGATGGAGTTTCTGGCTGCTGACTTTGGTCCAGCTCCACCTTAGCTGTTGAAGACAAATAGGGAGTGAGCCAGTGGATGGGCGACCTCTATCTCTCTGTATTTTGAATAAATAAACAAGAAAATTTTAAAAATCTAGTATTTGGAAAGGAAGCAGACCAGAAGCGTTCCCCAACACACACCTCCAGGTCAACACAGACACAGGGGCGTGGGTTATTGGAAAGTGTATTTGCAAGTTTGCCGTGCTCAGCGGTCCCTCCTGCAGTCCTTACCTCAGCGCCCTCAGCTTCTGTCCCATGCTCCAGGGTCTGCAGCGAATGTTGGCCACGAGTTCCTTCTGGGACTGTATATTCTGGAAGATTTGCTCCGGATCACTGCTGTCCCCTGTTTCATCCACATTAAAGCTGTCCTCCAGGCTGCTGGGTGGAACAGGGCGTGAAGGGGGAAATCGGATGAATAGAATTGCTTCCAAAGAAGAATTTCTTTCTCTGCGCAAGTTCAGCATCTCCCTGCCTCAAAGTCCTCAAGGTCGGTTATCCAAAGTGTGTGTGTGTGTGTGTGTGTGTGTGTGTGTGTAGGGATCCGTGGAGGTAGAGAGAGAATTTGGCATGTGAGCAGCCTGTTGAAATGTATTTATTGGATTCTATTATTTCAGTAGGTCAGTGCAAAAGAATGATTTCTCAAGGTGAAAGATAATCAGAAGACACAAAAGGAGACAACAAGTTTCTTATTTGCAACCCCCGAAGGGAAGCATCTTTGGTAAATGAAATCATTGCTTTTTCAGGCTCATTGAAATTATCAGCTAATTTTAACAGAAGTCCCTGTTGGTCCCCAACTCTGAATGCAAAGGAAATAAATGTAATAATCTAATACATGTAAATAACATTAATAAATCTAACAACTTAATAATAAATGTAAATGAAAATAATACATGCAAAATAAATAAAAACCAGATATCCTTCTCCGATCTCCACTGCAATTCATTCTCAGCCCCACATGACGGAGGCGAAAGCAGGCAGTGATGTCTGCGAACGAGAAATTAGCCAAGCAAAGTTCCACGGGCAGCATATATCAGGGAAATAATGACAATTTTTCAAGATGTCACAACATTTATTCCCAGTAATGGTTTCTATGCTAATTCTAACCCAACTTCCCAGGAGGCGGCGAGAGCATTTTCCGAGGGCCATTTGTTCATCTCTAACCCCGATCGGTTTTAATCACTCCAAGGAGAGTCACCTCTGATTTCTCCGAGGTTTTCACAGACCTTTGTAGATGCTTAACAGACACCGCTCACCCGCTTCTAACTGGTCTGAAGCCTCTGCCGGCTGGCACCTTATGGATGGTTATCTGCTCGCTGTTGACATTATGGATGCAGTAAACAGAGAAATCTTCTCTGTGGGTGCAGGCATCAGTCAAGCCAGGTTGGAAAGCAGGCTTTTACATCCTGGTCCCCACCCAGCAAGCCGCAGGTAGAGAGAGCGCCTTTTCGCTCTCTGCGCACGGCTGAGCTCACCTGAGCAAGTTTTGAGTTTAATCAGAAGAACCAAGTGGAAGAAGGACTTTGTTCCTGGCTTCCATGCCCCGTGCGTCCCTTCCTCATGCACCTGCCTCCTCTGCAAGTCCGGTGTTTGGGACCCACTCACCTGAGCAGCAGGGACTCCGGGTAGAGATGGCACTGGCTGGCATTGCGACGGACGCTTCTGTAGCGCTGGGATGCCTTGGAGGCTATCATGGTGCCGACCTCCCGCCGGTGATTCCTGGGGGCGGGCACGGAGCTGGCAGGTGAGGGTCTGTTCCTGCAGAGGGCTCTGGACGGGGGCTGCAGGCTTGCTCTGCGCTCTACGTCTCGGGAGCAGAACTGTGCCTGCAGCTGGTGCTGGGAGTGGGGGGAGAAGCAGGAGGCCGACCGTGCATATGTAATACTAGGGTGGCTGCACTGCACGGATTGGCTGGAGTCTGCACAGCCTAAGGCTTGGCCAGGTGAGCCAGGGATGAGCTGGCCCTGCCTAGATAATCCTGTCTTGTTGGGAAGCCCCCACGCTCAGACAGAGTGCTTGGTTTGCCCAGAACTTTGCGTGTATTACTGGGACCAGTGTTTGCAAAACACCAAAGCAGCAGCAAGAGAGGCAAGGCTTAGTTTTTGCATTTTTACCTCTCAGAGGCTTGGGAAGGCTCTTGCCCATGTCCACCCATCAGAATCAGGAGGGGTGCAGTCACAACACTTACTTGTTGCCGCTTTTTTTTTTTTTTTGACTTTTTCTTTTTTCTATTTTGACGAAGGTTAAGCTTGAGCAATGTTGATGGACACAGCAATGTTGAGCACACAGCTGTCTGCTCTCCACCCACACTCACCTTCACATTTTCCTACAATTACTTTACTTCTGCCTATATCATCTCCCCTTATGTACACCGTTTGAAACTAGGTTGCACACATAATGACACACACACCTAAAATATTGTAGCACGCAGTCATAACAATGGAATCATTTTGCTACATTTTACATTTCCTGAGAGGCACCATGACCCTATGAGACTGAGGCTAGGAGATGATAAGAGGGTTCATAGGGCTTCATGGTTGGAATATAAGAACTGGACAGACTGGACTGGAATCAGGAGATCCTGACACTAAATTGCCTCCTGGGAAGTAGATGGGCTGCCTCGCTTATGCCTGCTTCTTTGGCAAAGATGAGCAGCTCCCAGCCACAGGCAGGATGGGACTCGCTTGGCTTGTCACCTGCAGGTTCCCGTCCTGAGCTTCCCCTGTGATTTCTTGGCCAAACACCTCCTTCACAGGCCCTAGACTTGGCTGCAGCTTCTCAGGAGGCCTCTACTTGCTACTGACCACAACCCACGGCATGGTTGCAGCGCCGAGGTCAATGCACCTTTGTAGCAAACCGAGCAGGGAGGTGCAGGACAAAAACAGACGCGGCCCTTGCTGTCCCAGGACACAGTAGGGACACAAGGAATGGATGAGTACATGACTGGAGGGGGCAGCAGACGAGAGAAAAGAGAGGAAATCCATCAGCAGCTCCGGGTGTGGGGCTGAGCAGGGCGATTTCATTCATTCATTCATTCATTCATTCTTCTGTTAGTTCCTTAGCAAATACATAGCTCCTGCTGCTCACCTAACAGGCAAGGCCAGTCAGAGACCTAAGAGACCTAGCCCAGGATGCAGAGGCGCGGGGGCTCCTGGGCAGGTGTTCAGAGCTCGGGCGCAGATATGGGAATGAAGCAGAAAACTGCACGCATGCCAGAGCTGGCCGCCGGTCAGCAGTGGTGGACCTGGGGGCCTCTGAGACCAGCTCATTTGTCTGCCAATTTGTCTGAGGCCAATGTGGCCTGATGGATTTCCTAGGACATTAGACGGAATGTGTGCTTAGCAAATGGACAAATGGCATTTGCAATGGGATCATTGCTAGCCCCGCTGTGATTGTTTTTTTTTGGTATGTTTTAGAGATGGCTATTTCTGAACATTTCAAGGATTTTTGTCATCCTGCTTTTTTTTTTTTAAAGGCCCCCTGCCTTATTTTGAGATGTTCCTGAACATTTTATCCTGGGGCCAGCATTGTGTCACTGCAAGTTAAGCCACAGCTTACAACATTGGCATACCTTATTGGAGCCCTGGTTAAAACAAATTGGTGGGGCCAGCATCATGGCATAACTGGTAAAGTGGCCACCTGTGATGCCAACATCTCCTATGGGCACTGGTTCCAGTCCTGGATGCTCCATTTTCCACTCAGCTCCCTGCTCATGTACCTGGAAAACAGTGGAGGATGGCCCAAGTATGGGTCCTTGCATCCATGTGGGAGCCCTGGAAGAAGCTCTTGGCTCCTGGTTTAGCCTTGGCCCAGCTCTGGCTCTCGTGGTCATTTGGGGAGTGACCAGCAGATGGAAGATGTCTCTCTGCCTTTCTCTCTCTCTCTGCCTAACTCTTCCTTTCAAATAGATAAATCTTTAAAAAATGTATAAATCCAATCATTTACCCCAATTTACCCAGGTAATTTTGTCAGTCAGTATGGGTGAAAAAAGATGGTTCATCAAAGCATATTTAACTATATTTTTTGACTCCTAATCATAAATTAACTCATAAAATTAAATAGAAGTAAATGTTACTTTTACTGAAACCCATCATCCCAGTTTTTCACTTGATTTTAAAGAAATGCAGATGTCTGAGCACGTGTGTTATGAAAGATCTGAATACTCATTGAATAAAAAGTAGAAACAGTGGGACAATTAAAACATGGAACAATATCACTCAATGATAACAACTCTTACCATTTTCAGATGTTTACCAATGGCGTAATCATATTTAATTATATTTCTATTTCTATTTTGCATTTGTCGAGGCTGGTGCTGTGGCGTAGCAGGTAAATCTGCTACCTGCAGGGCAGGCATCCCATCTGGGTGCTGGTTCGAGTCCCGGCTGCTCTACTTCTGATCCAGCTCTCTGCTATGGCCTGGGAAAACAGTCCTGGCTCCTGGCTTCAATGTGGCCCAGCCCTGACTATTACAGCCATCTGGAGGGTGAAACAGTGGAAGGAAGACCTCTCTCTCTCTCTCTCTCTCTCTCTGCCTCTCCCTCTCTGTAACTCTGACTTTCAAATCAATGAATAAATCTTTTAAAAAAATACTTTGCATTTCTCTTAACTTCTCCATGGGTTTTTACATCTAGAGTCCTTTCCATACTATGTCTCAGTTGTGGTGAACACGTTTTCCCAATACAGCATTGAGAGCAAGTTCTACGTAGAACACGCGGCGTTCACCTCTATCCCATTTTGGCCTCCCACGTTCATTTTTGCCATTGATTTTCTGCTGCCTTTAGCAGCATTTCTTTAAAAGTAGTTTCCCAGAAGTGTGATCACTAGATCCAAGGGAAGAGCATTTGGGGAAACTCAATACATAGCCAAAGGGGTGTTGCTCTCTTTACACTGACACCACTTTAATGTGCATTTATGCGTTTATGTTTCCTTGTAAGATGAATTCCTATTGTTGTGAGTGATGGTACATGCCTGTAGGGTGCAGGGCACCAGGCTGACACACGTGAACTGCTCTGATGGGCAGTGCTGGAATCAGGGTAATTAGCATAGTCAGCCTCTCAAAACTTTATTTATTTATTTATTTATTTATTTATTTTGACAGGCAGAGTGGACATTGAGAGAGAGAGACAGAGAGAAAGGTCTTCTTTTGCTGTTGGTTCACCCTCCAATGGCCGCCGCGTCCGGTGCACTGCGGCCGGCGCACCGCGTTGATCCGGAGCCAGGAGCCAGGTGCTTCTCCTGGTCTCCCATGGGGTGCAGGGCCCAAGTACTTGGGCCATCCTCCACTGCACTCCCTGGCCATAGCAGAGAGCTGGCCTGGAAGAGGGGCAACCGGGACAGAATCCGGCGCCCCGACCGGGACTAGAACCCTGTGTGCTGGCGCCGCAAGGCGGAGGATTAGCCTGTTGAGCCGCGGCGCCGGCCACCTGTACTTTTTTTTTTTTTTTGTCTTGGGAACATTCAAGATCCTTTTTCCTAGCGGTTTTCAAACCCAGCGGCATCTGGGGCTGGCACTGTGGCATAGCGGGTAAAGCTGCTGCCTGCAGTGCCCGCATCCCATATGGGCACCGGTTTGGGTCTGGGCTGCTCCACTTCTGACCTAGCTCTCTGCTATGGTCAGGGAAAGCAGTGGAAGATGGCCTAAGGCCTTGGGCCCCTGCACCTGCGTGGGAGACCTGGAATAATCTCCTGGCTTCGGATCGGCACAGCTCTGGCCATTGAAGCCAATTTGGGGAGGGGGGTTGTGAGCCAGTGAACGGAAGACCTCTCTCTCTCTCTCTCTGTGTGTAACTCGGAATTTCAAATAAATAAGTATATCTTTAAAAAAAACCAGCATCAATTAAAATGGGTTTCTGCTATGGTGGGGTTGGGCTGTGGTGTGTCTCTGGACAGTTTTCTTGGCCTGATTTTGGGGGCCTGCTCTGAAGGCCCCTTGGCCAACCTTCAGAGACGAGTTCGGATGAGGCCCCGGACTGCCTCTCTCCACTCCCCCGCGGGGGAGAGTCATGCTCATCCCCCTACTTCCTGTGGGCTCCTCTGCACAGGGAAGGGCCAGGCAGAAGGCGGAAGTTGGGAGGATGTTGCTTTCTGAATGCAGGAGTCTTAATTGCTGTGCATGCATTTGGCTTCCTCTGACAATTGAATTAGAGGCTTTAGATGTACTGGGTAATTTTAAGTTAAGCCGAATTTGACTATAGACAAAATGACTAAAAATTGGATTCCTTAAATGCTCACAAGTGGAACACACACACACCAGACAAGATCAAAGACTTCCAGAATCTGTGTGCTGGGGGAAGAAAGGTGGAGGGTGAGGGACAGAAACGTTAGGGAAAACCCAATTGTGCGCCATGGATCCTTTTTAGATGAAAAAAAAAGATACAATAAAATTTAGTTATAAATCCCAGCAGGCTTTAACAGAAATCATCGGATGGTTTAGTTTACAGGAACAAAAACACTCATTTCCTACGTCATCAATTAAAGATTTTTTTTCCTGCTAAGTGAATTCTGTTCCGAGATATTAATATCCCCGGGGCACATCTTAAATGACTGTGTGTCCCGACATCCTGTAATATCAAACTCCCTCTTGTTGCCGAACAACACCCCAAACTATCTGGAGGAGTTGCTGTAGAACCCTGGGTGCACCTGTCTGACATGCAGAGAATTCAGTGCTGCCATGGCATGGCGGAACGAAGGAGTCGCTTACTGCACAGTGCAGAGCAAGGAGCCGGGCGGCTATCACTTCCTTCCCAGGCTCCCCAGGGTGTTAGGGGTGAAAGTTATTGTAGACTGAAACTGGGGCTGAGAGCTGCGTGTTCAGCTCGTGTCCAGGTTCCTCATTGATTAGAGGTGCTTGTGACCTACCTCTGATTGGTCGGTGATGTCGTGCTTTTTAGGGAATTTTTTTAAAGAATTATTTTATTATTTGAAAGACAGAGTTATAGAGAGGTGTAGAGCCAGAGAGAGAGATCTTCCATCCGCTGGTTCACTCCCCAAATGGCTGAAATGGCCAGA